GAGAGTTGCTGTAGGTTTTCATCAGATGCCCAAATGGTAGTATCATCAGCAAACAAAACCACTTTGACAGTTTCAGAAACTTTACATATATCGTTAATGTATAATATAAATAATTTAGGTCCCAAAACAGAACCCTGAGGCACTCCACATACAATATCCAGCTCACTCGATTGGTATTCACCCAACTTCACAAATTGACGCCTCTGTGTCAAATAACTTTTGATCCAATTCCACGCCATTCCTCTGATCCCGTATTTCTCTAACTTATCCATTAATAGTTCATGATTAATTGTATCAAATGCTTTTTTTAGGTCAATAAATATCCCCATCGTATATTTTTCTCATCCATAGCACTTGTAATGTCCTCCATCAGGTCAGTAATGGCCAAGGATGTCGATCGGTTCGACCTAAAACCATATTGGCAATCAGATAAGATTTTATGTTTGTCAATAAATGTATCTAATCTGTTATTAAAGAGTTTTTCCAGAATTTTTGGAAATTGTGACAACAGAGAAACCGGTCTATAATTTGTTAAACCTGGCCTGGGAAACTAGTCCTGAAAAACTATTGGTCCATTTTTGATAATCGATTAAATCCACCCATCATTTAAAGATGCAACTAAAGAATATATTAATCCATCTGTTATTGTTCTAATTAACCAGTCACACTTTTATGGTTTTATTAAAAGTGCTTTACAAAATTTAGTGCAAAACAAACAAAAGAAGAAAAGTGAAAAACACCTGTAATTTCTGAGCCAAAAGTCACATTTTCAAATTCTTACATGCTGATTAATGGACTCATCTATGACTTAATTAATTAATCATTTATTTATTTAACTTGTTCATTTGTTGCCTTTACTAGTTTCATATTGTTAAATAAAAGAAGACCGCACTCTTTGCTGTTATAACTTATGAGGGGGATGTTTTCGCTATTTGTTACTGCTCAGGTGTAAAACAATATGAAAGATACCTGATGTGCATTTGTATTTGAAATTAAAGTTGTTTTAATTGCATTTATTCAGAACTTGGTGATGATGAAATGATATTTTAATCTGTACAGATGTGCAGTGGATTAATGTAATATTAATTTGGTCCTGTTCTTCACTGTGTTGTGGTCGTTCTCTCGCTGCCCCACTAACCCAGCTTTCTCCTCCCCAGTTTGCCTCGTCTTTCTCGGGTCAGACAAGTCTGCCTCCAAATCTAATGCTGCCAACGAACCTGGTGGATCCTGCCAGATTAAGTAAGTGTGAAACTTGTAGCATCTGTAAATATGGATTAAAGTCAAACTTGTCAGCTGAATGAGTCGAGATAATCAGGGTTTGGAAGCTGAGTATAACTGTACTGAAGTGGTTTCACATGAGATTTTATGCTTATGCTCAGATTTAAATTTCAGTTTTTATTTTGCAAAGCATCAAATAATCAGTTTTTACTGTCTGCTCATTTACATCATCCTGGAACAAAAGATACTATCTTGTGAACCAAGACAACATTTTAACATCTGATCAGAGAATCTGAGGGGCCTGGACATAGAATACATGATGAGGAGAGCTGGGATGTGAGATGGCTCCAAACTGGTACCAGTGAGGAGAGGCCAGATACATCCCACGTCTCCTATAAGCACCAGTGTTTCCCCGTGTTGCCTCGTTTCTCAGTCCCGCCCATGAAAGATGCAAAAATGAATAATACAAGGAGAGTTGAACTGAGGAAACACGTTTTTAGAGACATCTGAAGCGTCCAGTCACCAACAGATTTCCAAAAAAGGGACTTGTCGGTCCATAAAAGACTTCTGCGACCGATTGTCCTCACTTCTCAGAGCAGATATGAGTCTCTGAATGTTTTCGATCCTCGTTCAACCAAATGACTTTCAGGTCGATTGAGGAACGAGAAATGATCATAAGACACTTGACCAGCTGTAGTTGAGATACAGATGACCTATTCACTCCCACAGAGAGAGCTGCAGTACTCTGCATGTAAAGTAATGAAGGACTGTCTCCAGCTCTGCTGTCGCTGACAAGAAGGATTCCTAGACTTGTGGCAGGTGTACAGACATTTGAAGACTGAGCTGAGAGTGGCGGCTAAATCTTAGAGAACCTCTCAGGACATCTGCCCTCCTCTCATTCAGCGCAAGAACATTTCCTGTCAGCCAGAGTTTTAACTCATTCAAGACAACAGCAACAACAACTGTAGATCATGCATTTCTATAGAAACAGTGTAGCGGTAGCTCCACCAGACGCTCGGTTGCTTCCTCAGCTCAGATATCGGGTAGAAAATGACGCTGTAATAATCCTGTGTGTCACTGTACTGACTGGTGGTGTTGCCTCCCGCAGAGCGGCGTCCTCCTCCTGCAGACTGCCCCCTGCCTCTTCTGAGGACGTGTGATGCAGTCGTTCCCGCTCACCTGAGCCCCGTGCAGATGTGGGTGGAGACTCTGCAGAGCTGCGACAGCGAACCGATGGGATTGGCTGAGCTCCACCCTGACGTCTTCGCAGTGCGTCCCAGGTAAAGATGAGTTCAGAGTTTGCTGCTGTTTTTCACCTGATGCCAGGAGCTGGTGGGCTCAGAACAGCAGCTGTAAGCCCAGCCACAGAAGGAATGTCAGTGAATGAATCCTGGGCTGATCAGCGGTTTGTTTTCTCTCCTCTCAGGCTGGATATTCTCTACGACATTGAAATGTGGCAGAGAAGTTACAAAAGGATTGTAAGTAGAGATTCATTAATTTCTCATTGGCTCCAGGCTGTTTTTTGTTGGGAGATGAATTCTTGACATGTCCTGTTTAACTGCCGTCGTAGCATCAGGAAGTTAAATATTGAATAGTCACCAGGGGGAAGAAGTGACGCAGCCTATAAACCTATAGTATCCGCTTGTGATAAGACGCTCTGAAGTGCCGGGGGCAGCCACCTTATGTTTGTGTAAAATTAAATTGACACTTGAACCTGTCGTTTTATCTTCAGACTTCAGTTTATGTAATCTGCTCCAGTATGTCCACTACTGGTTGTAAAAATAACATAATATACAGTGTGCAGCTGTAGCTCAGTTTAGTTTTGCATCTGAATTTGTATTAGAATTCCTTTAAAAGAATAACTGGGGATAATGAGCAGCTGAAAAAGTAGAGCAGGCCCCCTACAGAACCTCTGAATTGATCAACAGAAGCTAATAAAGGTTGTTTTGATGTGTCTAGAGCTACGCCAACACAAAGGTCAGGTCAGAGGTCAGAGGTGGAGGCAGGAAGCCCTGGAGACAGAAAGGAAGTGGCCGAGCTCGCCACGGGAGCATCCGCTCACCGATATGGAGAGGAGGTAACATCACCTGCTTTGACCTGTTTTAATCCAGGTGAAAATCAGTCACCTTGGTTCACTGTCAAAGTGCAGTGCTGCCACTTTTGTCCTTCGGGCATTTGATTGACAGGCGACGTTTCCCTCAGGTGGCGTGTCACATGGACCCAGAGGGCCGAACAGTTACTATTACATGTTGCCCATGAAAGTCCGAGTACAGGGACTGAAGGTGGCGCTGAGCTCCAAGATGAGTCAGGTAACTGTTCATAAAAGGAGATGATTGTAAACCTGTTCACATTAACGCTGCACAACATCAATAACAAAATACTCATGTCTGTTTAATTTTCAGTGCTTAAAACAGCAGGAACACGTTTTTTTTTTCCCTCCTCCAGTGTGAAACTGAACCATACGAAGGGTCATAGTGGTGATCTTTTCTGATCCGTTCTGCCCAGAGCAGTGCCACAGTAGCTGTGGGTCTGCTCATTGAAATGGGCTTTTAACTTAGCATTAAATATACTGGTATAATATCGCTGCCCAGTAATAAGCACGGTTGTATAATTAGTGGAAGCAAACTCAATTATTAATTTTTTATTTTGGGCATAGTGCAGAATGACTGTAGGCTGTGTGATAAGACTACACATACTGTAGCCAAACAGCACTGCATGGACACACTGACAACATGAAACCAGGACCTGGAGTCCTGTACGCTCAGGCCTGTGTGTGTCATCTGCTAGTAGAAGCATCTCTTGTGGTTGCATGTTAAGGAAACATGCACCCATCCATCTTCATAATTTGATTATTTTAAAGACCAACTTTCTCAGTTTAGTGACTTGTTTATTCTAAATTGTTAAAACAGTTTACCAAGTGCCTGTCAGAGTGTCTCTGAACCAGAGAAGGCAGCTTTTGACCGGACTGTCTGAACATCTGCTGGTTAGTCTTCTTTCCACTAACTTCCTATGAAGTGGCGACCTGGTTCTGAATCATCTCGTCTTTGCAGGACTACCTTCACATCGTGGACTCCCTCAGCATCCCCACCCCGGACCCTCAGTACCTGCTGGACCTTGTCAGACAGAGACACTGGGGGGAGTCTGTATTAATAGTTGACATGTGAGTACCATCAGCAGAATGTTTTTGAACGTGCACACCGGTGCTTCTGTGTCCAGCCCTGTCGCTCTGTGCTGAAGTCGCTCTTGTTCTTTTCAGAGGTGAAGAGTTTCCTGAAAACATCCTTCGAGCCACAGCGGACTTAAAGACAGTGAACCTCATTCCAGCTATTGGTGAGTTTGACTTGTTTTTAAGTTGTGAAGCTCTGCTGCACTCACCTGTGGACACCACCCGACACCGTGACGGTGCAGTCAGACCAAAATCCACTAGTTTCTCCAGTGTCTCTCTGGTCTGAGACAGGGAGCTCTTTGCCAGGATAAACTTAATATTCCTGTTTTATAACAGCAGGTGAAATAGTCCAAACAGCAGTAGCGATGTTTGGCGGTGGTGAGTGTGAGCAGTGACTTTGTTGCATGCTGCTGTTAGCCCGTTAGCTCCTGTAGGTGTTTTGGTGCTTCCCATACCATTTCCTGTCCCCTCCTATTCTTGGTCTCATGTATGTGAATGTCTCCTGGTGGATTTTGGTCTGACTGCCCCTCGAAGAACACGGTCATAGTAGTTGCAGTAACCCCTTTAGAGAGACAAACCACAGATGAAGCGCATGTATTCATGGTCAGTGTTGGTCAGTCTCCAGCCTGGGTGACATGTTTCTTCATTATAAAACATCAGACCCATGTTTGTGCCCCACAAAGCTCCAACCAACCATAATCTTTTACAGCATGTGAAGTAGCAAGACTCAGCTGCACGGGTGAGTTGTCAGTGAAAGTACGAGGAGCTGGTGGGCTGGAAACGAAGCAGAGCTTACACTGAGCTCTCGCACATGCACAGCTGAATCTTGCTTTGCTTCACATGCTGCAAAAATCTGTGGTGGTTTAGAGATTTTAGGGAAACATTTTTAGCAAATTTGCGGGTCTGTAATGAAGAAACACAACCAGTGCAGCGGCAGGTTTCACTTTTTTCTTAATCAGTGTTGAACAACAACAGAGTTCTGGCACAAACCAACCCGGGCTGGACGCTGACAGACATTAACCGTGAGTAGAGGCAGTTTGTTGTGGTGTTCGTGTCCTTTAAGCCTCTGTTGACCTGGTCCACCTACATCGAATCTAGCCTTCCCTCATTTAACCGTTTACACCGGTGCCTTTAACATGTCAAAAAATATATTCCAATAATTTGCTACAAACGCAGAGATTTCTTTGCTGAAAGGAATTTGTATATTTTAGAACATTTCAGCTTTTTTTTCCCTTTTCTGGTAATGACTCTGTTGAATTTTGTCAATTATTGGTTTTGCCAAAAAGCTAAGGGTTAATTTTAGTTTACACCATGTTTTACACTGTGCAGAGAATCTCAGCTGATGTTTTTTCTCTGTTAGGTCTGAACGTGCACAGCATGCTGAAACACGAAGTCCTTGTCCTCACGCTGGAAACAGTCAAGTTTCTGGAAGAGAAGCTGCTCTGGCACGACCAGCGTTACACACCTCTGTACCCGTTCAAGCTGCCCTACTCCGACTTCCCGTAGAAGACGAGTTCACCTGTAACATATTCACTGACAGCAGTGAGCCTTTTGGTTTGTGTTTATATTTAACAAAGTCCATGATAAAAACAATGCAAAGTTTTAATAAAAGATTTTAAAAATGGAGAAAGAGTAAGGCCTAAAATCGATAACTGAATTTGTGGGGCAGGAGACCGTTGGCCAGGTCGTTCCTGATCTCCCATCGCAGCGCCGCACGTTTCTTCTCTGTTGGGACAGCGTAGGTGTTCGGAACGTAAACTCTCCGAGGCTTGGGCTGCAACACAAAACCAAAATAACATCTGTCACAAGTTCGCACTGGAAATGCTGAAACACTTTTTGCCACCACCGTGTGTGGACGGACAATTAGGACGTTTCAGTGGTGAGGATCACACAACACAGACTGGTTTTGTTGGTTTCTCTCAGTTCTCTGCACAACTATAAAACTAATTCCTCAGCTGTCGCTCACTGCTTTAAGTTTATGGTTAATGAGAACTGCTGCGTCGTGTGATCAGCTCCACTGTAACGAACTAAAGTTGGAAGTGACATTCATGCAGGTAAGTGGAAAAGTTCGAGGAGATGAGTTTGTGACTGTCATAATGTGGACACACAAACGTATTTCTGCCCCCGTTAGAACTTTAACATGCTGTATTTCCCTTAAAAGCGGCTATAGTGACTACAGCTAGTACTAATTTTGCTGTCTCTGCCTCCATTGCAGCGATACAGGGAAACAAAAAGCCACGTTAAACACGTGATTGCAGACGGGTAATTTTTCCACACTGATCTCTGAGTCAGAGGGAAAGCTGATACTAGACCTGGGCTGGTGTCCGGGGAAGTCATTACAGATGACCAGGTGATCATCCTATGCAGACAGCTGTAATGGCCTCCCCCGGCGCCTGTGTCTTTGTTTCTGAGTCGAATCGGCATGAGAAAATGATTTGACCAACGTGTTCATTCTTAGTTGTCTTGCAGGTTAACCGGTTGCCCCTGTGCCGTTTAACACGACTTTCCGTTGACTTGAATCTCTACAGTGGAGCCAGCGATAGCTAAATTAGCACTAGAGTTACTGTGCCCACTTTTAGGGGAAGCAATAACATGGTCAAGTGCACACACAGTAAAACTACATTAGAAAACGTGGCAGGGTGAATCAGAGCTTCATTCAACAACCGGTTCCCAATGTGCTTGGGTTTTTGGAGATGTTGAGACTCTGGTTTCAACAACACTGTTAAATTTAGGCCTGAAGCAACAGACACACCTCTCAGTTTAACAAATAAAACTGATGTGTGCACAAAACATGTTGCAGCTTTACAGAGAATCTTTAGGGGAATACTTACAGGTGGAGGCTGGTATGCAAGTCGTTCCTGAAAAGAGAAACAAAAGTGGTTAAAGAAAATCCTACCCACAAAACCACGGTAGCAGCAGCTGACCTTGTCATTTTCAACACTACAGAGTTACTATGGCCACTCAGGTGTGGACCAACTGTTAGAGAAATATAAATGTTATGGGATGAAGTGAGAAACTGGAGGTGCAAAATGCTGCACACTAAGAGAGAGAAGTCCTGCTGTCCCACCCTGATCTCCCAGCGGAGAGCTCTCCTGTCCTTCTCTCCTGGAAGCTGAACCATCTCCCACAGCTGCTTGTAGTGGAAGTACCTGCAGAGGTAAGAAAAGCACATGATCAGATGAGTCACCTGTCAGAGCAGCACGAGGCTGATGAGAAGGAAGAGGTTTTAGTTGTGACATCATGTCCCTTCTCAAGAACTCACTGCAGTTTTACCCACATCTTGGTACCAGAACTGACTACGTTTAAATGTACATAACGTACTTGGCCACTGGGTCGCTCTTCTTGATGGTTTGCCGCCTCAGGGCTGGCCGGATGACTGAAACAGAAATTAATTTGATAAATTATAAAAAGGTTTGTTCAGTGTCAGCCTGAAAGCAACATGTTCTGTTGGTGTTCACTTACACGATTTGGGTTGGGGCCTGAAATCCCCATCGCTGTGAGCTGGAGCCTGTCAGAAAAGAAACACGTTGTTCCAACAGTTTGTAAAATTTTAAGCCTACGTTCACATCACAGGCCTGAAAGCTCAGCTCTGATGTTTTAGTCGGATCACATCTTTTTGTGTTGATGCTTCACGTTCATGTTTGTAAAGGCTAATTTATGCTACATCGTAGCAGGCTATGCAGTGCCCTGCGCTGTGGCCTGGCGTGCACCTGCCCAGGAATTTAACCAGTTGTTGCAGCAACGCACAATGCAACAATCGTGACTAATCGGACTGCCATTCCTCGTATGTGTCTCTCAGTAGCCGAACAAGCACAGAAAACACACCCTAACCACATCTATTAGCTCCAACGTCTACATAACCAGCATAGTTTCACCTGCCACTGTTTACATTAAGTGGTGAAGATACTCAACATGGGGGCACAGAAACTGCTCTGGTGGCAGTTTAACTACAGACACAGTTTAACTGCAGTGCACAAGTATAAATGCTCTGTATAGATTCAATGTAGATGCATAAATCGCGTATCAGCTCCAGCGTGAACACCACTGAGCTCCTAAACTACCACACAGACAGTGTGAACTATGAACTGAGTCTAGGAACACGTATGCATGTGGCTTGGATCTGCTTTCATTTGTTCACACTTCTGTGGCAACATCAGATCCAGGTCACCCTACACCACTTTATGGCATCAAACTAGTTGAGTAAGTTAAACAGATGTGAAGAGATGAAGTACAACCTGGACTACATTACCCACCATGCCTCTGATGTAGGACTCAAAAGCACTCAAAGACATGCCGTCAGCCTCGGAGCTGCGTGTGTCACTCTGACTGGTCATGTCTTCATTCTCTGTCTCAAAGTCACATTGAGCGGACGTGGACAAACGCAGCTGGGCCAGTCTCTCCTCCACGCTGCTCGCTGCATCTGCACAGAAACACCCGGACATTCAGCAAGGCTCCAATTAGCACTACAGTTAGCACAAAATGTTGAATGTTCCGTCATAAGGCCCCTCTAATGTTCAGCCTGCTGCTGTGAGGAGAATGAATCAGGACCTGCCCCAAATCTGACCTCACATCTATGGTCTTAGTTTTACTCATTATTAAAAATAGAAATTGCATAAAATAACATCACATAGACGCATCTTTGTTCATAGTTTGGCATTAGAAAGCCCAGTAAACTCTTACTGGAGGCCAGTGATGAAAAACTATTAGTTCTTGTCTCAGAGAACAGACAGTTAATAGCATATCATACTATTATCGTTATTATTATAATACACTGATCATATAAACAAACACAAACCTGAGCCTGCACAGTGATATTAGTCTGTTTTAAATGATAAAAGCCTCAGACAGCTGCCTCAGGTTCATCTCATGAAGCCCTGTTAAGGAGCTTGTTGTACACTACTGACATCTAGTGGACACTTTGTGTACCTGACAATTCCATGTTTATTATTATGGATGTGGAGCGGCTCGTGCTGCTGTACAATAAATCTATACTTAGGAATGCCAGATAGTTTTTCTGGGCAGTAAAACTGCTTAAGAGACACATGTGCTCATGTAACAAACTAGGGCTTTTGTTACTGAGTTTTATTGAGAAGTTAGACTAAAGATTATGTTCACAAACAGGACAAGTCCTCTTTGGCTCCGTTTCATAAAAAACAAGTGCTGTGCTACTTTTTCTAATTCAGTTTAAACTGGCTGTTCCATTTATTAGGAGGCAAACACATCAGCCAAACAGAAACACACAGCGATCCACGTGAACAAGCCTTCATTCAGTCCACTGGAAGTGCATGTGATTCTTGCAAGTGGAGGCCTTATTTATCACTGGTCATGTGACAAACAAGGAACAAGCTTCTCAGCCTCAGTGTCACAGGTGACATCACTAATTATATTATGTTTGTACACATTTTGGTTTGGAGGTTTTTGAATATTCTGGGGCATGGTGGACAATGTCCTTCAGGATGAATAAAGTTGTATCTTATGGTAATTTAGGTTAAAACAAAAGGTTAGACACTGACTGCAGCTGAAAGTCTGCACTTTTACATCTCCTTCTTTAGAAGACAAGATTTCTAAGCCAGGTACATTTTGATGACGACAGTTCTTTAGGACAAAGGAGTCATCCCTAGAATTTAACCCTTTAACATCCTGATGTCCTGATTTTGATGCCACTTCAGCGAGGTAACACAAATGTTGCTAATGCAGAGACAGGAAAGCGTTTACCCTGCTGCTGTCTGAGGTTTCCTTCCCACTCTTCACACATCTCCTCATACGCCCTCCAGCTGAAATCCCCTGTGGAGTCGAACTTCATGTCCTTGCTGCTTGAGGACACCTCTTTCTCCACATTGTTCTCATCTTCTCTGAGGCCCGGGAACTCTTCTTCTAGCCTTTTGTACAGTTTTCCCTCCTCAAGATGGCCCCCACCTTCCAAATGCTCCTCACTAAATAAGAATCCATCTTCATTCATAGCAACAATGTGGTGGTGTTGTTCCTCCGATCCTTCATTTGTCATGTCTTTGTTTTTGGAGTCTGCATGTACAATTTCAAATTTCTCCTCATCTGTCTGATTTTCATCTCCCTGTTTCACATTGACGATGTCCTCTTCTTCATGTAGACCACCTACACAACATGCTACATTAGCTTCAGACCGGGCGTCCTCTAACACATTTTGAGTCTCATGGTAGTCTGACTGTTTTGCAGAGTAAATGTCAGACCCGCCGAGTGAACGGTCGCCGTCCACGTCATTTTTCATCTCAGACAGATCTCCCCGACTGTCTCGCTCGGTTACAGCTGGGCTGTCAGGACTGCTGCTCCAACTTTCTTCATCATTACTTCCGTCCTGCAAACCCTGTCTGAGGAAGTTCCTCTGCTCGTCCAGCTCAGACTGTTCCTGTTCTGAAACCTCCTGAGTAGAGTCCTCTGCCTTGGCTACAGGTCTGGACTCTTCTTCACCAATCATTAGTTCAATCTCCACCTCCTCCTCATCCTGCTTCTCTCCATCCGACCAAAAAGAGGAGCTGAGGGAGTTTTTGTCATCGTCGCTCCCCTCATCCCACTGAGTGTTGTACATTTTGTACATGATGGCGACTTGCACTCTGGCTGAGGAGTGTGTGGAGGCAGGAGCCTGGAGCACAGAGCTAAGAAGATTAGCTGAAATCCATGAGCCTCAACAGCAGCACAAACGGCTCTGACGGCTGGTGACCAGAGGGATTACGTCATTTTCTTGATTCCACATAACTCGCTCCCACTGGTGGGTTCACTCTATTCCAGGGTATTTTTGGCATTTATTTTATTTTAAATTTATTTCACAGTAAAGTGACAGGAACTTTACACAGGGGGAGTAGTGTAAGAATTCCAGGTTCCTTGATTGTCTGTTTTTGTGTTGTTATATTTGTTTTTTTTGTGTCGCTTGCTGCAAAACGATTTTCAAAAACGGTCTGAAGTAAACTTTATGTGACAGGTGTTAATGTAAGGACTAAAAATACACGTCCATTTTAGTATTTGCAAGTGGTGAATTAACTTTGGTTCACTTGACCAGGATCATCTTTAAAACCCTTTTCTACAAGAGAGCCCAGCCTGATTTTACTAAATTCTAATATACTATAACTAAAATGACTTTACTTGTTTTTCCTGGTCCAGTTCATGTTTGTGAAACAAAATATATTTAATTTTATGACCTGTTTGTTTATTTGCCGTCTCATATCAAGCACGTGGACGCTCCAACTTGCTGCTCTACATAAAGATGATTAAAGAACAAAACCCCTCACAACAGATGATTAGAAGGATTTCTACCAACAGTTACCTGAGTTTTCACTGTAGACCGATTCATCACAGACAAGAGATTGTCCTTTATGTTTCCTGTATATATAAAAAAGAAGTGTTAGAGGCCTTTCCTTAAATATGTTACAGATCCATGTTACTTCCACTTTTCTGTTAAATATTAACTGTGTTCGAGATTTTTCAAAACTGAATTTAAGATATCTGAGCTCCTTTTGGTGACTATACTCGTTTACTGTACAAATCAACAAACAGTACCTGAATAAATCTTCTTTTACACTTAGATACACCAATACACACTGGAACTTTTTATGTTCTGATGCTCTGTCTAATACTTTGTCAGTTTTTATAGCCCACACCTGAGGAGACAGACTGACAAACTAAACCCAACTCTGGAGGAAAGAATGAACAGACCCACAGTCTGTTCTCATGCATGCTGCACGTCTCTGTGGATACGATTGTGATTAAAATTTACCTCAGAACTTTTCTTTTGATGAAACCTCTCCCCTGGGTGTCTGGGGAAGACGTGTAGCTGTCAGTAAGCAGCGGGTGGAGGCTGTGCTCTGGATCCGGCTCCACCTGCAGCCTGCTGGGAGCGCCCGGAGGCAGCTGGTGCTTCGGACCCACCGAGTGTTGAGCATACGAGTCCCAGTGTCTCTGCTGCCGTCCACAGTCTCTGTTCTGACAGGTGGTGAGCACCTGTGTGTCACATTACATATATTGCTAAACCATTATGCTGGACTCCAGTCTCATTTTCACAGCTCAGTAAGTTTCAACAATACAACATTTCAACACAGTCTCAATCTTTCCACAGATGCTTTTGCCCTTGAAAGACAGATGATCATCCTGATTATCCATGTGCGCTCTACTCTGTACATACATGTCTGCTGGATCCCCCTCAGTAGCTTTATTTCCTGTTAAAAGGGGTTTTACATGGGGAGTGTGTTGTGTGCTGTAGACTATAAACCCCCCTGAAAGATTTGCTATATAAATAAATATAACTTGACTAGAATCTTGTTTGAGGAGCTGACACTAAACCCTCAGAGCTATCGCTGATATTTCAGACCATTTACACGTTTTATGACACCGAACACCAGATGCTTTGTGCTGCTGATCTCTGGATGTGGTGTCATGCAGAGCTGCAACTAACAACTCTTTTCATTATTGATTATTCTAATTATTTATTTGACGAATCATTTGGTCAAATAGGGGGGAAAAAAAACCCAAGATGACATCTGCAAATGTCTTGTTCTGTTTATTCAGTGTCATGTTATACGACAAAGAGCAGCTGCAGATTCTGAATCTGAGAAGGAAAATACTGCATCACCAGTACCTGATATCAGCAAGTAGTCAAATGTAAAGGGGAAAAACTGATAAGAAGGGGTATCGGTGCATCCCTAATGATTAACAGATTATCAAAATAGTTGCTGATTAACTTTCTGTCAATCACCTAATCAATTCAGCTCTTGTGCCATGTTGACTAAATTTGACCCATTATCAGAAACAAACAGCATCTGGAGTAACGTGCGGTTAACACTTACATGTCTGTCACTGTCTGCTTTGGCTGCGTTTAAGAAAAATCTTACACCAGAGTCTTTAAAGTTGCTCTGACTAACTGTGAAGAAAAACAAAGAATTTATTAGTTTACATGCAAAATTCATGCTCACAGTTAGTATTAAGCCTAAATAAGACAGAGATTCCACCTTTCTCTTTGGTGTAGGCAGGAGGACTCCGCTGAGATGTATCTGTCGGGACTTTGGTGCAGTTTGTCTGAGTCGGTGACGCCAGCGTTTTCCATTCTCCATGTCGAATCAGTTCATCAAGGTCTGACATGGCACAAAGAATGACAGTAAGTCTAAACATGGAAATCACCAATGCTGGAGTAATTTTTTTCCCCCATGCTTGAGATGCAGTCTTTACAGAACAAAAAAATAAGAGACTATACAGTATATGGGTCCAGATTCATTCTTTAATTCATAATGTAAACTTTTAGGGTCCCCAACAAGCTACAAGGTAACCAGGAACAGAGGGGGATGGAAGTTTCAGAGTCTAACCTTTCTTGAATTCACGCAGCCTGTGTTTCGGTATGTTTCTGTAGCCGAGGATCGCCAGCTGTTCTTGAATCTCCTCCTCTGTGAAATCCAGGCTATCCATGGTATTTTCTGCTTCCAATCAAGGAGGAAGCATAAAGTCTGAAGAAAAATGAAACACCCCAAGAGAAGTAAATACTATATAAAACATATACTGTATAAGAAAGAAAGAAAAACCAAACAAGTTATTTATGAGGATATTTATTTTTGGATTCAGGTTTTTACCTGCCTTTAGTAAACAGGGTATTGTTTTAAAATGTCTTACAAACTTTATCTAAACATCTTGACACCATGTTGGAAGTACACCACGTTAACAGGTTTTGATTTAGTGTGTTTACATCTTCATAAATACACACAACGAATATACAAATACAAAGTCCTCTTGATTTAATTCAACAGCACTATAACACCTTTATAAGAGAAACGCACACAACTGAGCAACTTCGTGAAGGTACAACTTATTGCCGTTTCAGCTTGTTGTACTCTAGATTGACGACTTCAAGTTTGTTAAACTTTAGTTTTGAGCTATTTAACTAGTAATAAAAATGATAAAGTAGGGACACATCAAACTCCTTTCGCTCAAGTAGCAATTTAACGTGCCTACCAAAATATGGACCAACACACGTGTACACAATTATGACAAAGGTTTACTGTTTCTAAATGCAAAAATAAGGCATAATTGTATGGTGAACTTCTTTAGTTTCAGTGTTCAGTGTGACATCATAGTACTTTTTATTCCAAACGTACAATGACTGCTAAGCCAAAATTGTGAATTCATAGCTAACGATTGCAAGTTAGAAGCTGTGGTTTACCAGTAACGTTAGCTTAACACTGCCCAAATGTTTCAAAATTAAACATATTTCTGAAGGGAATTTGGCACTGTATTCTTAAAAGGCTGCGGAAATACAATACACTAGCTAACAGTTAGCAGCCAGGCAGTAAATTAGCTAATCATTATCTAGCTAGTCATTAGCTCATTAGGTGTTTAAAGGGTTCGTTTCTCACCTGCGTGACGACGATCTCGCTGTTACGCTGAGTCCATTGTGCTAAAATAAACGGTTACGTTTGCTCGTGGTAGTAAGTTTTGCTGTATTGTTTACAGGTTCAAACACAGCACCAAGACAACTGACGTTAACGAGCTTTGAAAACGACGCCACCCCCAAGTCCTCGATAACTTCCGGTTTACTTCTTCGCCCGTGTATTTTTTGTGGTTGAAAGCGGGCTACTGCCGCCACCTACCGGACTTCAGTGTTGCAGCACCAGACTGACTAAACGTTTTGAAAAATGCTTCAAGTATTCAGACTTCTTATGTGTGAAATTTCAGTGTGTGATTTTTAAAATAAATGTGCAAAAATCCGAAAAATTGTTTCCATTTCTCATTATGAGTTATTGAGTGTAGAGGAATTAGCAGAAATGACAGTTGTATGCATTTAAAATTAAATCTACAACATAAAGTGTGCAAAAGACTCAAAGACTGAATACATTCTGATGCAAATGTATATTATGTTGTATCACTGCATCATTAACTCACCTTACCTTTTAAATTGTGTTATCATTAATAAATAAAAACTGTATTCACAAAATAAAACCGAGAAATGACTAAACCCATGAGAATAACCTAGGTTCCCAAATCTATTTAAAACCCACAGTTTCCATTTGATTCCCAACACTTAAAGAGCAACATTATATTTTTCAAAAACCATAATAAAGGACCATAACATTTATTTTAAAAAGTACAAGCAAAATCAGGCAGGTTTTGGTGTTCAGTTTGTACTGAAACATACTTCATTTCAAAGTAAAGGTTAAGTCCTCCTCCTCCTCTTCCTGTCAGATTGTGGGGCCTCAGCTTCTTATGAATAATCGGGACGTTCTAACATCCGCCCCTTCCAGCAGGCGGAAGGCTTTCAGTCAGGGAGGAGGCTGACAGGTGGACCATCTGTGAGCCCTGCTAATCTGAGAGAAAGGGACTGTTAGCATCTTACGTGGCACTGGGAAGATCATGGCTCTGTCCGGGATTTGTCGGGAGCTTTTGTTGGTGCTTTTACTGCACATTGTGCTGATTTGCTCTGCTCAGGTGAGAGATGGATGCTTCTTTTTTCTCTCCTCATACCATGAAGAAGAAACACTCAAGGATTCCTGTCGAGACCTTATTGTACTTGATGGCATTTTATTTCTAATCTCTTAGTATAAGATGCTGAGTGTCTGTATGATGCTTCAGAGTGAGTTTATAACTTACCCACATGTCATGTTATCTTTAATTTACTTTGGCATCATATTTTATATCTTTATTGGCGGCTTCAGATTCACTAATGACTCTATTGTACCTTATTGTACTTTTTCACCTATGAAAACTGTGTATTCTCCTATATAAATTTTGAGGCATTTTACTAAACCTACTTTAGCCCATATAATATTTTGAGGTACTTGGATGTCAAATGTACTTTGAATATGTTCTTTGACATAGGCTTTTTCACTGAAGCTGTCACTGATGGATGTTTTTCCTTGGTGGAGCTCCAGACACATAATATAGGACTATTAGTTTATTGGTATTACACATTAGTCTTTTACAAAATCAGTATAGGAGATTAAAGAGCAGTTGATTTAAGGTATGAATAATGTGTTTTTTCAACAATATCTATAAATGCATGTTCTCAAATCCTTCATGGATTTGATGTAAAGACTGGTCATAACTGCAGTGCATTCATCCCAGTGTGCACATGTGGTACCAATAGGCTCCTGACAGCAGCAGTAATCTGAACACATGCAGTTACTTAGGCAGTATAATGAGACTATAATCAGAAACCAAGGATTAGTTTCATGACCTTTCCACTCACATCAGCAAACAACGAGACTCTGTGTGAGCTGCCCTTCACATCACCACCAGCAGCAGCAGCAGCACTGGGTGATATTTTAGGATGAAATTCAGTGGGAAAAACTGAAAGTGATTTTTGTGTTTGTTTTACAGAGAGGCCCGGTCGGTCCCAGAGGCCCTCCGGGGCCCCCAGGAGCAGCCGGTGTGCCCGGAGTGGATGGCATCGATGTAAGTTTTGTGTCTTCTCACTCATTAACATCAGTTTTCAGATGTGGCTCGGATACAGATTAGTTAATTTCTGGGTTAATCGGCTCAGTAAACAGCAGCAGGTTTTCACTGGCTGCGGTAGAAAGAGCCGAACAGTAGTAAACTTCAACAACTATGTGTTACTGTCAGATGAATTAATCTATGGAGCACAGAGCTAAGAACCATATATATATAATCTATATGGTTAATGGGTGAGAAAGAAGCTGCAAGTTTCCCTCTATAATGCAAAATTAAATATTTTAATCTTTCATATTTAATTTGCTTATTTGATTGTTCAGTTATGGTTTGTGTCAGGTGTTTATGTTGGGGACGACTGTGGTTCAGTGGGTAGAGCAGTCATCTCCCAACTGGAGGGTTGGAGGTTTGAATCTCGGTGCCTGTAGTCCACGTGTTGAAGTGTCCTTGGGCAAGACACTGAACCCCCCCATTGTCCCTAATGGTTAGAGCCATCGGTGTGAGTTGGCGCCGCAGATGGCTGCCTCAGTTCTGTACCGGAAACAAATTCTGTGTGTGTAACATACTTGGCCAATAAAGGTGATTATCCTTAAGTTGCTTCAAACTGTCTTCACAGGAATAAAATGCTGTTATGCTGAATAAGTTTATCCTAAACACATTTAAATTTGTTGAGTAGAAAATCAGCTGTGTGCGCTAAACTTATTTAAAGTACAAAATCTGAAAAAACTAAATTTGCGCAAAGGAAACATTAGGCTTTTCCCTTCTGCACTCACTAAAGTAAAGTAAAGGATAGCTATCGCCAAGCACCAAGCAAACTGGACTTAAGTATTTGAAAAGAAACCCACTTGATCTGAACATGTTCTCTACCTCTCTTCAGGGCGACAGAGGAGAAGACTCCACTGTAGACGGTGGACCAGTGAGTTGGCTTTCGATTCCTCCCTTTTCATACTCTGTGTAATGACTGCTGATTTCTGGACTCATTAAAAAGAGGTGACTCTCCTGCTTCCAGGGCCCCGACGGTGATAACGGCAAAGACGGAGCTTCTGGAGCTCCAGGCCTTCCTGGCAAAGAAGTAAGTGGAACAGGATGTTGACATAAGTTCAGGCACAGACAAGGAGCATTTGGTCAAAAGATTCTGTTCAGTTTTGGATTAACCAGCTGCTTCAGTAGACGAGAGTCCAGCAACTTAAACTCTCCAATAAGCAGATGCATTGAAGCTCTGAAGGATCTGGGCTGGAGGACTTCAGATATTCAGATCTGCTGCAGTTTGTTTTGGCCCCCACTGAGCAAAAGTGTGGAGGAAAAAAGAAAAACATCTCTTGAATAAATCAGTCTGGCTATTTAGGGGAGAGTGTGGAGTAGCATCCTGAGAGAAACAGGGGTCTTTTTGTGTGAGATCGAGGGGCATGTGGATGAAATGCCTGAGAGCAGAGAACTGTATGCTGCTCCAAACAGACAGACAGGTTCAGTTTGTGGACAGAAAGAGAAAAGGTCACCAAAATGTTTACCAGGTTTGCTCAGACTTTGAGAAACCGCAGAAGAAGCAGAGAGAGGCCAGTTTATATACAGTACCCCCAGAATGCAATGTGGCATGAGAATCTTCTGCTGCCGATGCCTTTTACAGTGTTTGGAGGGTTATTTATGAAGGAGGCAGGTGAAGGGAGGAGCCACAGAAGAGAGGGAAGGTCACGGTCGCTGAACGCAAGCAGAGCAGGTTTGGTAGAAGTTCAAATCAATGCTGTCTTTGTTTTAGACGACTTTCTTCATCTGTTACAAGTTATATCTTACTTTGGTTGGTGTGGCCATTGTTTCCATCAATAATTATGGCATTCTTCTCACAAAATTGAAATAAAAAACAAAAGCAAGATGGTGAACAGTAAAATTATTATCCAGACTATCGGCTGTAAATGTCCATTTGAGTTCAGACTGACCTCCTTCATAACGCTCACAGAAAACCTGCTACTGCAAGACAACAAAACCTACTGAGCTACATCCTGAGAAAAAATGATAATACTGAAATATCATTTATCCTGAATAATTTTCAAACTAATAATGACATCAGATGCCAGCGGTAGGTTTTCATGTTCAAGGAGTCGTATTGTGAGGGTCCGACTATCATGGGTATATTGCTTTTAGGTGGACTGGACAGCGGTTTACACTGTTTGAATGTATTTTAAATATGTTTTTGTTTTTACTGTGACGCGATGTTTAAAGGATTTTATGTCACCTTTGCAGGGACCTGTCGGACCTTCTGGGGACCCTGGCCCTGTGGGGCCAAAAGGACCAAAAGTAAGTTTATCATCTGTACATTTCAGTCAATTAGCCACTTTGTTGACATGTCAGAGCTGCTCCACTGCCAGTTGGACGAACTATGGAGATTAAAACATGTTCACCACGTTTTGTCTGCTTCAGAGAACTGAACTGTATAGTAGCAGCTTTTTACTTGGCACCACTGTGATTTTACTAAAACACTGTACAAGTCTAAAGATTTTTAAACGCTGACATACGCTGATGCCAGATCTCATTTCTTGTTTCAGGGGGACCCGGGGCCTCGGGGGCCTCCTGGGGAGCCTGTAAGTGCAGATAACAAGCTCATTCGATATCTGAGAGAAGTCTTACTGACCTTGGCGGCACTACCTCCACTGTGCCACGGCTGTTTATTAGCATGACTCTGTACAGAAATGTTTGCTGCTTAGTTTTGTTTACATTGTTACCGATAAAACTGCACATACCAGATGTTATTCATCTTAAACTGCTCAGTGAAAACTGTATTAGTCTCTTACTGAAGACCTGCACTGTTACATTCACAGGGATCAGAAATTTTAACCATCTGAGCATTAATTTATTTGTTTCTGACTGCTCTCTTAATCAGGCAAAAGCACAACACTCTGTTTCTAACCTCGTTTAGCATCTTTGTACTCTGTAGTAGAACTACATACTCTTGTCACCAGTTATTTAAAACTATGAAAACGAGGCTTTAGCCAAATGTGACTTGCCTGCAGTTTCTCTTTTGGTGTGTAGTGATTTGTGCTGAGCAGTCGGCCTCACCGTCCACCCATGATTTCTCTCTCACAGGGTGTGGGGCCTGACGGGCTTGATGTGAGTACCTTCAACATTCAAACACCATGGTCTGTGTCTGCGTTTATTAATAGAGCTCAGCTCAGGGCAGCACTAGAGGCTTACCAGTGCCCAAGGCTCCGTGCAGGGCAACAGGATGAGTCCAGTGGAGAATCATAAGCAGCTGTTCCCGTTTCATGAAACCTGAATGTTCATGGGGAAGCGAGAAACATGTCATCTACTACTAATGAAGAAGTTTCAGTTTGGGCTGTGCCTCTAATTACTGTCAAATGCTGAACAGTGTCACCCACCTCTTCTGGTCTGTAAACACACCTGTGCTGTCAGAGTGAACCAGCCACCCCCCCAGTACACTCACAGATGACGTGAGATGGCCTTTATGGCTGTACTTATACACTATCATGGGATGTAAACTAGTCTTACCTTAATGTCTGAACAGAATGTACATATTCAGTGGAAGCTCTGCTGGAACACACTGCTAACGCTCCAGTTTGTTTTTTAACAGGGTATTCCTGGTACAGATGGGCTTCCAGGTGAACTCGGCAAAGCTGGACCCCCTGTGAGCATAATAATCTTTTAAATTTATATAAAGTGGAGGTTGAAACTTATTGGAGTCTTAAATCAGGGGTGGCCAATTCCAGTCCTCGAGGGCCGCTGTCCTGCTTGTTTTCCAACTATCCCTGCCTGACCTGCTGCTGATTACCTGGCTCAGGTGTGTTCAGTCAGTCAGAAGCAGCAGGTCAGGCAGGGATAGTTGGAAAACAAACAGGACAGCGGCTCTCGAGGACTGGAATTGGCCACCCCTGTCTTAAATCAACACTTAAATATCATCAGTACTTTAAACAGCTTTAAAAATGTGAATTGCTGCTGTTGATGCTACATATTAATAAAACTCTTCTTCCTCTCGCAGGGGGCAAGAGGCAGGAGGGGTCAGGATGGTCTTCCTGGTCCTGCTGGGCCACGGGTAAATATCCCAGTCTCTACTGAGGGTCAGTGGGAAGTATTACTGTAATTTCATGTAGCACCAAGTGGGACAGCTATCAGAGAGATGGGGTGACACTGTGGGACATTAGGCGCAATGTAAAGGTCGGGGGATGAATGTTTTTAGGGCAGCCAAACACAGTGCTGCTGTCTATACAGCCAGGTATCATTTACTAATAGAGACTAGTGGGTAATGTTTCTTATGACCTACAAGCGTGTAAAAGGTGATTTTTACTGAAATAATACAAGCTGAAGTTGTTGTTTTCTGTAGGGGCTTCCAGGCGTGTATGAAGGCGAGGACCTGGTAAGTTGGATCCCAAAGAAAATGCATCAACAAAACCACAGACAACATACAGATACACCTGCACGGCAGTAACGTCTGGTTTGTTTGTGTTGTGTTCATCAGCTTTTCCATAGCTTGAGGTACTTTAGAGTTTGAGTGATTTAGATTGTGCTGCTTTAACATAAAGACTTACTGCATAAAAACACATTAGTTTGTGTGTCTGCTCTTTCTGAGTCAGGACTTGCTACCAGTGGAGCCCCCTGGTGGCGAGGCTCCTCCATGACCTCAAATAGGCTGTTTTGTTTTTCAGTGTCCCAACGCCTGCCCCTCTGCCCTGACTGGGCACGCTGGTCTCCCCGGCATGAAAGTAAGTTAACTTCTACGGCCACGGGTGTGTGCGTTGGTGATGCTGACTGATGAACAATCATGATATTATTTCCCTTCCCCTTGTTGTTAAACATCATTTAAGATTAATTTGAGCATTCTGTTTCTGCCTGTAGGGCCACAAAGGAGCTAAGGGTGAATCAGGTGAACCTGGAAGACAAGGGCACAAGGTAACATCAAGCTAAAGTTTTAAACAAATATAAAAAAAAAAACACAAAACAGGACTATTAGATGCCAAATCCTGACATAACTGGGTTACACTCGCTTCCAGGGAGAAGAGGGCGAACAAGGACCGCCAGGAGAAGTCGGAGCACAAGGACCACCAGTAAAATATTTCACCATACTCTCACAGTGCCTTCTCACACTGAGAGGTTCCTCCACGTTGGAGATGGCTCTGCAGAGTCAAACATATTGACATGGGGCATTTCTGTCTCTCTTCCTCTGTCCACTGAGTAATTTTAGGGCCCAGGTGGACCAAGAGGCTTCCCAGGAATAATGGGCTCCAAAGCGGAAAGGGTAAAGCCACAGGGTCACACACGCTGACTGGATTCATATAACCACATAAAAACACCCCTTCTGTTTCAGCTGAAAGGCCACAGGACAACGACACCAAGAGGGTTACTATAAAAGTCTGCTCATAAAAGAATACAACCATACAGTCACAAAATATAGGCTAGCCTTAGAAATCACAAGGATATATGACAAACACACAAAGCATTAACACAACCTATGATTAGGTAACTGTAAAACTCTCAAATGTTCAAATCCTCATTCGTTGTCTTTTGAAAAGGCAGACCCATCCTCACCGTCTGCACTGGAATAAGAACCAAACACGCTGCTTTAGTTTTGCCATGTAAATCTTGAATGTCTCTACTGATGTTTGTCATCTCAAAATGTACCTTCTGATTTAAAATAAGCAGATGGTAAAAATCTTAACTGAATTTAGTTACAGCAATTTTTCATCTCCCAAACAGGGACCTCGTGGAGAACCTGGAGGTGCAGGTCCTCGCGGAGTCCAGGGAGCCCCAGTGAGTGCCTGTCCTGGCATCAGCACTGCAGTTTCCTCTGTTTTTTTAAAACCAAATATTGATGAGACCTGACATTTTCAGGGTGATCCAGGCCGAAGAGGAGCCATAGGTGAGACTGGGCCGAAGGGAGCGCTGGTAAGATCTCACACACAAATCAGACCCCAACCCGTGGACGGATTACTGAGCAGGCCTACGTATTCAACATGTTCTCAGGGTTTTATATTTGGAAACTTAGATTTGGGTCATCAGTCTAAAATTCCCCAGTTCAAGTCAACCAATAGTCACCATAAAAGGCACATATTCATTTAAATGTTAACTCCTGTTTCTGTACATTTTACCTCCCTACAGTACACGGCGGTCTAATGCTGTTTCAGAGACGTCTCTGTACATTGTCCCTTTTATTATTTATATGATTTGTTGACCGTACTGCAAATTAAAATTAAAATTTTTACATTTCATTTTGTTTTACCCCAACTGTCAAATGTAAAGATACTGAATCTAAAATATTTAAAAATATCTGTTAACACTCATTTTGTATTACATGCATTTATTGCTTTTTTTCAAATGATTTATTTACTTTGTGTCATGAATTTAACTTCCTGTTATTAAGCTTTGCGTGTTTGTTTCTTCGCAGGGGGACCAGGGTCCATCTGGAATCAGAGGACCACCAGGACCAAAAGGAGACCCTGTGAGCACGGCCTCATCTTACTAAACCCACAGTTAAATAACCAATCCTGCCTATTCTCGACTTCCTCAGACACCTAATATATCCTACTACACATCTGAACCTGATGTCTTTACCACGTTCCATATTATTTGCTGTTTCTTATCTGACTTTAAGAAGCTTGGCACCATTGTTAGTCTTCAGTCTATATGTTGTTATCAAAGAATATACCAGATTTAAGCAGGTTTTTGTCCAAAAACTCTACACAGATCCTTCGCTACCCTACATTCATTTACTAAAAGTATATGTACTAATGTGTGTAACTAGCCTCATAACATTTTGCCCGTCTCACTGTTCTTTCTCATGTCATCAGGGCCTTCCTGGTCCAGATGGTCGTGATGGAATACCCGGACTGCCAGGATCCAAGGTTTCTTAACATTTCACAGTCTTTTTCTGCACAACACTTTCTGGCTTCCTAAATATTTGAGATGTGTCCTAGTAGTTAGAAAGTCCACATAATAAATCTGTTTACTCCTTAGAGAGGACTCTTGCTCTTTAAATGTGTTCACTGACAGATTACTTCTGTTGTTTTCAGGGTCTTCCAGGGAAAAGTGGGGCTCCAGGTGATGCCGGCCCACAAGGACTTCCTGTGAGTGACCTCCGACTTTAACAGCTTTGATTTGGCCTTTTGTTGGAGCTCAGATGTTGGTGTTTGATGAGAATGTCTTGATGCAGGGTGTGCCAGGTGCTTATGGCCAAAAAGGACATAGTGGTCCCAAGGTACTTCCACAACACCCAGTAACATCACAGAAACACTACTGTACTAGTATTACTAAGTCATTTAAGATAAAAACTCTTACTGTAATGTTGTACTGGTTTTCTCCCTTCCTGTCGTCAGGGTAACACTGGTAATCCAGGAGCTGTAGGACTGATGGGGTCTCCAGGAAAAGAAGTAAGTCTGAAGAGAGTTAAGAGACATGAATCATGGGATAATTCAGCTGTGAAGTGAGAGCCTCAGACTGAGTTCATACAGTTTGGAAAAGTACTGTACATTTTAACTACCTGCAAAATACCAACGTAGTTTTTGGATTTTAAATTGATTTGGGAAATTCTCTCAACTCATAAAACCAACTTTCACTGAAGTACAAGACAAAAACTGAGGCCACATTCATGCATTTTTCTGATGGAGGTGTAATGATGTGTTATTTGTTTCCAGGGCGAACGTGGCGAGCAGGGAGAGGTGGGGCCTGTCGGACCCAGAGGAGGACCAGTGAGTGCCTGACATCAGCTGCATCTGCATTTCACTTGAAGCTGCATGATATACTGGAAGTGCCATATACAGTATTGTCAGCCCTCTTCCCATAATCTGTACTTCCCAGTGTGCCGTCCTGAATGACTGCAGGCTGACCAGACTTGAACGCCATCCATTACTTCCAGTTTTGTGGCGACTAGCCCCATCATAACAGTCACAGCTAGCTCCCTGCCCGTACGACAGACCCGCTGTACAGGCCTTCAAGTGCCGTCTATTAAATTACAAGTGTTGCATTTCTAAACACATGGACACACACTAGCAAAGCAGAATACTCCTTGCAGTTATTTACCATTATCTTGTGTTAGCAGGCTGCATGTTGTACTGTAGGTCGTGTGAAAGTAAGTAAACGGACAAATGAAGGGATTTGTGAGATTCCATAGTTTATCTTTTATAACTAACACTGAAAGTAACTTTATGATTTTCTTTTAACACCAGCTCAGGTCACAGCTTCTATCGTGCATTTTTCAGGCTGTACAACATTACCGCATCATCTCATGTACACATGTACATCAGTGTGTAGGAAAAGATATCGCTAGCCCCAACTAAAAACACGGTGTCACAATTACAAGATAAAAGCAATAAAATTCAATAAACAGATGCTGTAATACAGTTATTTCTAGGGTAACGTTACAGCATAAAATTATTCCATTACTTACTGCATCACAATTGAAAATACAACTTTTAAAACAGATTTTAATGCATTTTGTCAGATTTGATCACATTTTGCAGGAGTTTGGTGCTTAATTTTTACCCAGTACAAGTGAGTCAGAGAGTGTCATACAAGTGTTTATCAGAATAAATTCACAGTCATTGATCAAGTGATCAGAAGTGCACTAAGACGCGGTTCTGGATTTGGAATATTTCTTTTTGTTGCACTTTTCTGTTTTCTACCAAGATTCAACCTTTCTTTCTTTTAGGGTGAACGAGGGGAAAGAGGGCCTGACGGGCCTCCAGGATTACCAGGAGCCAGGGTAAGACCTGACAGAAAATCTCACCCAGGAAGGGTAACGGTACTGTTTAGTTTGGTAGGGAGACGTCTTCATAGATGTATCTTCAACTTAGATGAGTTTTTGCTACATAGTGGACAAAGAACTGAAGCAGAGATGATACTGACTGCAGTTCCCAGTAGAATAGATTTAAACAGTATTCAGTGATTATTCAAATAATCTGTAGCAGAACAAGGGTCACACAGGAAGTGACAGCATGCCTTTACTTGCTCAGAGTGGCGATAAATGGGCTGCATGGGAACCGGTTCTCTCTATCAATAATGGGCGAAACATTGGTCAGAAGTCAAGTTCAAACTGTGCGTCACTTCCCGACCACCTCGTGTCTTCAGTCCACATAATAAGACTCACAGTAATCATGGTGAGCGAGACAAAGATGACGAGGTGATTACAAAAAGAATTATAAGACATAATTAGAAGAGGAAGCGCTCAGCATGAAAGGAAGCCTTAGTTCCAGATGCATTTAAAGCCTTATTGGCAGTACAAAGTTTAATTTGCTCATTTTTGTCACTAGAAATAATTATATAAATAAGTAATGGCTCCAAAAGTTTAACCCTAACCCAGAGGTGACAGATCTTTTTGGTAAATTATGAGTATTATAATACCCTCTGAGAAATTTTGGAGATCTCTGTGGTCAGACAAATAAGCCATCAGGGTTAAAACACTGCGTTGTTGACAGAACTAATCAAACCTGAGAGGAAAACGACGACTGGGGCAAAGAGACAGCTGAATCTTTCTGCTCAGCTCAGGCCTTGACAGTGCTGCTGCAAACCCCAACTAAACTAAAACATCAGTGCCCTGAACCACAAAGCGAGCCATCAGTGTTCATAAATACTATCTCTATCCTGAATGTTCTATTCAACACGAGGACCATTCACCAAGATTAACCTTGTATCTTGTTCGGACATCCATAGCTGGGAAGTGGAGTCATGTTCTGTACTGTTATTAGAGCAGCAGATCTTTATGAGCTTCTGTCCCTGGAGGTAAACCTCTAATCCTCCCATGAGCGGCCATGAATGGCCTCTTGTTACTAAAATCTGAAGGGGATTTGGGGCAGGAAAAGAAGCTGAGAAGCACTGAAAGAGCTCTCTGTTCCCCAAGAATGCCTGAAACCTGTCGGCTCACTGTACGCCACAATCAGTACCTACACGCCCTCAGAAATATCTGGGCAGGGCGGATGGTTGGATGGCTGGGGGGTCGTCAGGGCCTCCCAGCCTCATTGCTCACATGAAGTGAAGTGAAAATGTTTTTATTTCTTCTGTAGATGTGGTCAGGTTACGGTGGGGGAGGTACGTTTTCTGAGCTTCACACAGTCGATCTTGTGTTTTGATTCTGAATGTGTACATGCTGTGTATTTAACTATTTTTTGTGTTTGTGGGGTGTGTTTTAACAGGGAAGCAAAGGGGATAAGGGCCTTCCAGGACTTCCTGGCCCAGCTGGATATCGTGGCCAGACAGGAGACAGGGTATGAAATAACGTGATAATGGGTTAACGTCAAAAATCCATCCAACATCGAAGAGCTTACACAAATCAATACAGTCTAGTTAAACCCTGCACTCTGCTGAATGTGGGTGAAGCTATTGTGTGGTGCAAACCCTCCCCAAGACAGAGGGAAAGTCAAAGCAGCCAATCGTCTGCAACAAAGTACAACTACAAAATGAATCTGAAGACTGATTCCTCACAACAGAGACCAGACTGTCCAACAGCAGCACATTAATTTACCTGCTACAAACACGACACAATGGCATAGATTGTGTATAAAGATGGGCGACGTGGCAGCTCCCAGAAGTGAAGTCACTGTAAGTTGATCGCCCCCTGGTGGCTCATTGCAGTATAGGTCATAAACCCCGCCCCCTCAGTGTTAGCAAATGGGACATGAACTGAAAATTCAAAATACAAATCAAATACATTTTGATTAAGTCATTTCAGGTAGAGATTATCATGCTGATGTGTGTGCAAGTGGTCATTTTATGAGGTTTCTTTTTAACAAGCTATTTGATGATATGAAAACAGGTGTATTTAAGATGATTGACAGCTTTGATTGGGGGTGTGACACCACAGCTCCAGCTCTGGTCGCTAGGGCTGGACACAGATATTTGACTATTCAGGTATACTGTACGTTAGTTGGGTATGTAACTGGCTTTTAATTGTAGTATTTGAATATTAAAGAAATGTCAAAGCATTCTGAGTCTGATGATGAAGAGTAAAGAGAAGACAGTGGAGACAGCTTGGTCCACTAGCTCTTAAAACGTTGGAGCATTTCACCAAATAAACCTACACATTACTCAGATAATCAACAGATATTCTAAAGCTAAACGGTGACTTTCTTACCTGAAAGCTTAATGGAGCAGTGAGGCATCGTCTGTTTTTATAGACAGTGCTGGTTAGTCCAAAGCAACTGAAAGCAAAACAAAACTTTTGAATAATGCAAAACATTACTATATACTATGATTGCAGACAAATAAAAAAATAACAGGTTCATTGTTTATACATATTAATAACTTTAAGCAGATGTTTTTTTTTTTTATCAAATGACAATGTAAAAACAAGTTGACAGTGTGGGGGTCACTCAGAGATCCTGTCGGCTTTACAGGACTTTAGTCTCAGCTCAGTGTTTGATGTCTCGCCACGACTTTACTGTTTTATTTCTGGCCTCAACAGGAAGCAGCTGCTTTCAAAGAATAATCACTAAAATCCCACAGTTCACTACCAGCTCAGCAGCAAACAGCCTCAGGAAAATGTAGAATAAGAACAGATGCTAGAGGATTTGTCTTTTTATATTAAATGCTTCACACTATTAAGATAATTATTCCATTTTTTTCAGGGTGTAGTTGGTCTCAGTGGGCCAAAGGGAGTCCAGGTATGTTTCATACGATTTAATATTACACTTACTATTATGAATAAGTCAGATTAGACTTAGCTAGAGCTGAGCTAGAGCACACTAAGTGCCAACAATCTATCATGTGTTTTTATTTCAGGGACCTCCAGGTGCTGAGGGAACACCGGGAGAACGAGGCGACATGGTGAGTTACTGAAACACCTGCTTTTGACTCTGCTTTCATCCAGACAGCATTATTTACAAAATGAGTAAGAACCCAGGAGGACTGAGTCTACACGTGGTTTTAGACTGGAAAAGTCTGTAGAATATTAATCTTTAGCAACACAGAGATTGATCTTATAAATCAAGAATCCTGGGCAGCGTGGTGGCGCCTCACAGCAAGAAGGTTCCAGGTTCGACCCTAACTCGGGGCCTTTCTGTGTGGAGTCTGCATGTCCTTCCTGTGCCTGTGTGGGTTCTCTCCAGGTGCTCTGGCTTCCTCCCACAGTCCAAAGACACACAGCTTAGGTTGACTGGTGACTCTAAATTGCCTGTAGAAGTGAGTGTGGTTGTTTGTCTACATGTCATGTGACAGACTGGTGACCTGTCCTGTCCAGGGTGGACCCCACCTCTCGCCCAGTGTCAGCTGGGATTGACTCCAGCCCCCTGTGACCATGTTCAGGATAAGTGGTATAGATAGTGGGTGGATGGACAGATTATCACAAATCCTGTCAAATTATTAAAACAGACAAAAGTCTGGCACTGGACAAATGTGTATGAACATACTTTCCTTTCAGTATAAATGGACTCTGCAGCATCTCTGCTTGTTCAGACTTTGGAAGCAACTTTCTGCAGACACACTTATTTGTGAATCTTTTTCCTTCCAGGGTGATGAAGGCGAGCCAGGAGAGAAAGGATCGGTACGTTTGCTAAGCAGATTTATATCACTACAATCCAAATGAACTGTTCTCATAAGGTTGCACTGTACTGTGTCTGTGAAACCTTACAAGATGTACCGACATCTCGTGCATTCAAGCCTAAACTGTTTAGGAAGCATAATCATTGGGGACTACAGGATGGTGAGTTTTCCAGTGAAAAGCTAATGCTGCAGGTTTTGCAGTTAAATACCACATGAGGAATTATTCCAGGTGTTTATTATTCTTGTGGTGTTTTGTTGCTGCTGGAACACTGGAATTTCCCCATTATGGGAACAGTGAAGTCTTACCTTACCTTAACAACAGCATTTTTTATTTATACTTCTGGTCTTTTCACTGACTGACAGCCTCTTATACTCCACCTTTAAGAGCATACACATGTTCATATAAATAAATTCTAGTTTTGCTGCCGTCTTGTGAGTTTCCATATTCAAATTCATATTTCAGGCCAAATAAAGGTCAAAGTAGATGTTTAGATTTGATCCACCAACCATCTCCATCTCTTTGCACCACTTCTGCTGTAATCACCTTAAATCTTAGTGTCTGTCTGCTGCTGTTGCTTACAGAGAGGCCCGCCGGGAGAGACAGGAAGTAAAGGACCTGAAGGTGGCCGAGGACAGACGGGGAAAGAGGGCAAGCCGGGTCAACCAGGGCCTCGCGGCATGCAGGGTGACGTAGGGGTACCAGGTCTGCCGGGAGCACAGGGACCAGCGGTGAGGCTTTTTATCTCCAAGCTGTTGTGCAACAGGTTTCTGGTGAATCAGGGCTGCTTTCTGAACAGGATGTTCCCTGAGTAGGTTATTTTTAAAGAGCACTTCATTTTCAAAAACTGCAAAAAGAAAGAAAATACAGCCACTGTTTAAAATGATCCTTCGCCCACTTTCCTTTCAGGCACAGTTCAGCATGTTTTGGGGGTGGCACAAGTTCTATGGGATTAAATACATGGGGTTTGCTGCGTCAACACCTCAGGGCCTTGTGATGTTTGCTATAGGAACTAATGGCTAAGCACTATCAACAATCTTTGTTTGTACAGGGAAGATCGCCGACAGACACGCACATTAAACAAGTCTGCATGAGGGTAATGCAAGGTAAGTGTTTGTCACCTTCACACACAACCTCAGTTTGTCCTCTGTAGTTTTTATCCTCAGCAACAAGACACAGCCATTTCACCAGTTCGACCATGAAGCTCTCAGTCTGTGTTTTCAGCCACTTGCCAAAGCTCTGATTTGTCACGTGGCCACAGTGGTACTTAGCCTTGCAGACAGATTTTGTTTTTGTATGGGGTGATATCAGACTCCACATTATCAATTAGACATCTTTCTAAAGGCAAAAACAACTAGCCTTAGCCACCGTAACCTCCTGGTCACACTATGGCAGGCTACGGAAAGCTGTGTGTGCAGAACTCCTGAGGATCTTGGCAAAAATCTCAAAGAACAAAGTCTTGCGTCAAGTTTCAGATGTGCGTACTTCAGCACACAGGCCTAAGTGAAACTGAACCCTGCAAGGCTAGACACCACAGGCGTACATGAGATCTTTTTTTTTCCTGCATTATAAGTGAAATATCTTGGGTTTTGTATTTGGCCAAAACCCCCACAGTGTATTGACACTGTCCCTGTGACATGTCGGTTGCTTTTTGAGATTTTGCTCTAGTAACTGATGATTGTTTTGCTGTAACAGCTGCTCTGGACTAAAAATGTAAACCATGTGCTCCTGTGTCACAGAGCAGCTGGCCCAGCTAGCAGGCATCTTTAGCAGGCCTGAGACAGACAACACCGGGCTGCCTGGTCCTCCTGGCCCACCTGGACCTCCTGGTCCCACCGGAGAAAACGGTTTCCCTGGACACCCTGGATCACGAGGACTGCCTGGTCTAAAGGGTCCACCTGGTCTAATGGGTCTCAAAGGACCCAAAGGTGAGATTCAGATTAGCAGTGACTAGAAAGGTTGTTGAACTGAACTCCCCCACTGCCTGGGAAATGAAAGAGGAAGAATGAAAGTGCTCTAAACCTAAAGTAAAACAACTGTGAATGACAAACTAAAACAACAGCACAGGATGTAACAAAACATTTGGGTTTACTGCTCGCTGCTGACGTCACAGAGCCTTGGTGGAGCTGAGGTGGGACAAGCACACGATAATGATGCACATTGATTTGTAAACCACTAACTACAAAAATCTGACCAACCACAGTCTGAAGCATTAACAGCCTCCAGTGAACAATCATTTCTAAATTTACCACCGAGCAACTTTCTGCTTACATTCAGTGTTATGCTGTTTCTGGGTGCATTACCGCCACCTACAGGTCTACCCTAACCCTAACACATAACCTACAGGTGGCAGTAATGCGCATGCATCATGCATGTGTATAAGGTCAAAGAAAGGGGAACCCACATGCAAAAACATTGCTCCACTGTGCTGCTAGTGGTCAGATACTCTGTTAAGTGTTGGTGGCACTGTACATAAAATAATGTGGCTCAAGATGTATTTGCTGCTGGTCTCAGGAAACTGAGAACACCAGAGGGACAAGTGTGGGCTGATACAAACAAGATATAACAGAAAGTTCTGGCACAGCTTCACCCATTGTCAACATTCACAGACAAGAAAAAAGCAAACCTGAGCACCTTTAATGAAAAGACCATTAAAGTTGTTCAAAGGACTGCAGGTGTTGCTGGACTTCAAATATGATAATATGAAAGTTGAAGATCTGTGAGCTGTGAGCATCTGCACATGTTTAACTCTTCTATTTGATGCTGTTGTGACCAACTTCCCCCGAGGGATTGACCAATTTTATGTCAATGTTACTGAAGGAGCAGATGAGGTGTGAACTAATGACAATTACGTTTCCTCTCTGTAGGCGACCAGGGTGATAGAGGGGACCGAGGACCCACAACAAGAGGACCCAAGGGAGAGCCAGGTGCCCCTGGTCTACCAGGTAAAAGGACAAGGATGACTAATTGTCCAAAGGAAATTTTATATTGATTAAAAGTAAAAGTCCCCTTTCCTGGTCTCCATTACAGTGTCATGCAGTACAACTGTGAACCAGCCTCTATAGTATGTGGTGCACAATAAGTGATATATTTCATTTTGTGTTGAATAAAGAGAAGAAGAATCAGACTTTTAGCTAAAGCTAGTACTGGTACCCGAGTTGGACAATAACCATATTCTTCTCTTAAAAACAAAACAATTTTTGTCTGAACTTGTGTATACCAGGAAGAGTCGGATCAAATATGAGATAAAGTAAATAATGAATCCAGCCAGATGCACAGTGGCACCTTTTGGCACCTGACAGTAGAGATACGTTAGTGCAGGGTTAATGTAAGTAACAATAAATGTCAGTATAGAAATGCTAAATTTAAAATATGTCAGAGATCATTTGGTGTCTGCATTACACCGTTTCCCCACCAGAGGGCCAGTTTGTCATATTTTAAATTTACCACGAGTCCAAACTGTTTTGACCAAATATGGTTTTACATTATATTGGTGAAGCTTTACTTGTAGCTAATACTCACTGGACACACAAAGTATTTTACAGTACTGTGTAAAAGTCGGAGGCACTAATATTAAAGTGAGGAAGCATTCAAAGATGCATGAATATTTTTTTATTCATTACTTAACATTATATTAAGCGCTGCAAACAGGACAGACTAAATCATATTTGCCTATAAACCAGCGCCAGTTCTCCTCAGTCCACCTGCACGCTGTTTTCCAGGTATTTCCAGCATCTTGCAGAACTGGCCACAGTCCCCCTGTGGGTTCAGGCTGTCTCTGCATCTTCACATGGTCCCAGACTGACTCCATGATGCTGAGGTCTGGGCTCTGTGGGGGCCAGACCATCTGCTGCAGGACTCCTGGTCCTTCTGGGCTATGAACAGAGTTCTTTATGACTCTGCTGGACATTTGGGTTCAGTGTCAGGCTGCAGATGTTCCATGTTTCATATTCAAGCTTTCCTCAACAGTGAGGTGAAGTGTTCAGCAGAAAAATCCTGAAGGCTTCAGGGATTCTGTGCTTTGCTTGAGGGCAGGTCAGCAGGACAGACGGTGTTCAGGAGAATCTTTACTTGACCTTTTTCCTCCTCTCTCAGGTGGACCGGGGCGATCGGCTTACGGCACAGATGGCCGTGACGGACAGAGGGGACCTCGTGGTGTTCCCGGTATTCCAGGTGTTCCTGGGCTTCCCGGTCCCGCCGGTCTGAACGGTTATTGTGAGCCGTCACAGTGCATCCTGCCAATGGTGGCGTCGCCGGTTTCAGCAAAGGACTCCAGCATGAAGGGCCCCAGTGAGATGTGAAGAGGGGCAGAAGTGAACTGAAGGAAAACAGAGACCAGCGCTCGGTGGAACATCTGCACATTTGGGTTCTATGTTTGTTTGATTACTAGCCCTGAAGCCATCTCTGTGGTTAGAAACTGATATTAAGGTGGACAATGAACAGCAAACACCTCAATTTTTGTCATGTCTGTACTGTCAAACTGAAACGAGCAGTCTGGTTTGTCGTTTGTTTATGTAAATGTGTCAATATGCAAATTATACTGCTGGATAACGTTGATTTTGTTTGTGAGTTTCTCTGTTAAATCCCCACATGTGCTTTTTCCTCTAGATGTCTGATCATTTCTGTGTCATGGCAACTCGTTTTTGTGACTGGACAGTTTTATGACTTCTTATTTATTATATCAAGATTTGACGTGATGCCTTCAAGTTGTACAAAGGAGGAAATAAACACATTTTGATAACTTCTTGCATGTTTTGTATTGACGAGTACAGACAACAAACAGGACTTCACAAGAATCCAAGCTAAAACAGATTTCCTACAGTAAACGTCTTTAAGCTGTCCTCCAGAACTGGCCTGACAATCTAGCTGTGTTAAAGTGCATCAGCTGTGTGCAGCCACGAGGACGTGGTTCAGCCTTGTAATGTCCAGCAGTAATATCTGTGGTTTTACACTGAATTTGTAATTAATTTTCATTCATGTGATCTCAGCAGGTAGCTGAAACACAGAAAAAGCATCTAAAACTGTATACACTGCATTCTACTATGATTCACTGGAGGCTTTACTTTGAACGATGCAGTTTTCGGAACATTTGTCCTGTACAGTAACTAAGTACATTTACTTGTGTCCCATATTTCTATTTCCTGCTATTTCACACTTGGAGTTCACTATATTTCAGAAGCAAATTAACTTTTTACTGTAATACACGTATTTGATATTAGTTGCATTTTTAGGATCTGATTAATTAAACAAAATATAGTATAAATATAAGACTTTACTGATCCCTGGTGGGAAATTCACAAGCTACCAAGCAGTATGTAAAGTACTTCAAATTATAAGGTAGGTATTTTACCAGCTGGAACAAAGCAACGAACACAATAATGGATCAGTAATTATAACCCAGTCATATAGATTAATATGTAAAAGGGTAACAGGGGGGCGGAGCCAATCCCATTTGACACTGGGCGAGAGGCGGGGTCCACCCTGGACATGTCACCAGTCTGTCACAGGGCTGGTAGTGGATAACCACACACACTCCTACCCATCTGTACTTCAGAGGAGTCAGGTACTGCTTCAGGGGTGCAAATGCCGGAGGCTGGCTATATATTTAAAAATGAGCGCAAGGAGAAACTAACAATATAACTACAGAAACAAATTACATTCAGTACCAGTTAAAACGATTCAGCTCACCTTTGGCTTCACTTGTCAAGAAAGCTAACCTCGACCCTTTTCATGTTTCCATTTACTGAATACGATGTGTCATTAAATAACAGGACATCATTCTTTGTTTCGGGTGAACGCTGCTGTGTTTAGGTTCTTAACTGATGGGACACAAAGAACACAGAGGATGTTGCTGGAAACTGGGCAGCGATGGAAAAAGAAATGTGCAAAAATAACCTGCTACCAGCACAGAGTATTTAAAGTACCAAGTATGCGATACTGCCTCATTCAGCGTTTATTTTCTAAACAAAAGTTATCGTGTGCACCGAGATGATGCTTTTCTCCTGTTTGCTGTGGGATAGTTTAACTTTATCATTGTTATTAGTACAAGATGACTTCATACACATTACTAAAATACCGCTGGGTATGGAAAACGTGAGACTTGACTCAAAGAAAAGCGATCAAAAGCAGAAAACCTCTTCGTCTGCTGCAAAAAAACAACAGGGCCACCAGTGAGTTTGTCCCACTGAAAAGGTATTTACCAATTTCGTTTACCACACTTTATTCAGTCCAACACAAATGTGAACTCTGAGCATCTGTTAAATCATAATCCTGTCTCCTGGTCTTTTAATGGAAACCACTCTATTTAAATGTTTTGTTACCATTTTGTCAAGATCTCACATCTGTAAACTGTAAGGTCATTTAGAAAATAGTTTGACACCATCAGCTGATGGCGAGATGTGGCTCAAAGTCCCGGTAAAAAGCTGGCAAGTGCACCCTGAATTAAGAATTGTCCAACTAGTTTCCACAGGTGAGAATAAATTCAACACACTGGTTTTTAGAAAAGGTACAACCATGAGCACAATTCTTAACCAGTAGAAAACATCCACTCACTAGCCCACGTTTGTTTTTCAGTGTATCATTTAATGTACTCTCACAAGTTGGTGAACAGGTACGACTTTGTCACTCACGGTACTAAATCACACATCCATTGATAGTATAAATAGCCAACCTAATATTAATAGTACACATTTTCAAATACATAAAATCATCAAGTATCCAAGTCTTAAGTTACGGACATCAAATAAAAAGGCATACAAAATATCGCAGATGCCGGAAGTCCAGTTTGAAGAAAAAAAAAAAAAATAAAAAAAAAAAAAAATCACATTTTGGACATTGCAGTTAATTAGAAAACAAAAATTCTGATAGAGAGAAAAGAAAAGAGTACGAATTCCTAGACTTTCAACTGACAAGTACTGCAACAATTAAGCATTTTATAATATAAAACTAGTTACTGAAAGGACAGAAGTGCGTGTAAGATGTCCTGCACAAGACAAAGGCAACGGTTTCCGTTTCTTGTTCAGAGTAGAAAAATGGAACACCTTTTTCAAATGCCAGCCTCAACCGCCTTTGCGCCACCTCGATTGTAAGGCATTTACGGATGAACCATCTGATTTGAAGGAAGGCAAACCTCTTTCTGGTCAGTCTACCCTAGCTAGGAACCCTAAAACCGAACGGGGACATAGTTGCTCACATAAAGTAAAATTGTCTGTTTTCTGATTAGAACGTTCTCAGGTAACATCATCGCACGAGTCATTCAAAATCTTTGGGATGTGTCTGCAGAAAACAATCCAATGTCTTACAGTAACAACTCAGCACTACCTTTTTGTTTGGACACACAAAGAAGAAAAACCGTGATTCTTGTTCACACAACTCTTTTTTTTGACACTTAATTTTGAACCTGAAGATGGAAGGGACAGGGGCGTTACTAAACATGGTGGAAGGGACAGGGGCGTTACTAAACATGGTGGAAGGGACAGGGGCGTTACTAAACATGATTTTCCAAATAAAAACCACCAACACAATGATTCTAAGGAAGGCCGGGTTAACAAATCTCTTCTGTACTGCGAGGTCAGCTCAGGGTTTGGCTCTACTGGATGCAGCAGTTATTGCGATGGCCATTGGAGTCTTTGAAGCGCAGGCGCATCTTTGGGCGATATTTCTCCAGGTAGAACAGCTGCTTGCTGTTGAACGCTCCCCGACGCTTCCTGGAAGAAATAACACGAGTTTCGTTTTAAACACCTAAGAGCAGGTCACTTTATACAAGTGAAAGTGAGAATCAACAACACTGAAAGTGTAACATGAACCATGGACCTTTATAAGCACTCTGACATGACACGTAATGTTTCTACTGAGCCCAAATACAGCCACCTAAAAAGCTATTGTTAGGTTATAAACAAGCCATTGTTAGGTTATAAACAAGCTATACCACGGTCCTATGACTTCAGCGCCACCACCATGGCGTTTCCTCTCAACGTGACCTGATCTAGCTAACGATCATGGCCGTGTCAGAACAGTTTGTGTGTGCGAGTTTAAACATAAGGCTGTAAAGGCTCAAGGGCCTCCATGTTCAGTATGATGACAGTTAAAACCCCAGGCGGCCTCTGTAGTCTCATTTAGCCACTTGTTAGCAACTGCCATTTTAAAGACACAAGTGGGGTATTTACTGATGTGTTTGATGTCACAGGGCAAAACCTGAAACTGTGTTGGCCTTGTGTTACCACGAACCTTATTTCAGAGGTCTAATAGAAACCCACAGACTTCAGGGTGAGGGAACCCAGAATGCAAAAATGCTGACTCAGCCCTGACTTTAATAGAACTTTTTTTAAACCCATGTTACAAAAGTACTTTTGTCAGGTATTAATTTGCTGGGAAAAAAAACCCCATGTATGCTTATCAGATCTATAAATAATTTCTCAGTTGTATTTCAGGAAAGTAACTGTACAAAGACACTGTATATAACCGGTGGTGTAAGTACGTAGATTGTTTACTTATAAAAGTACCAACACCACAGGGTAAAATACATGTCCTTTAGTGACCCAAGTTATCCAATAAATGTAGTGAGCACAAAGTTTCTCTGAAATGCAATGAAGTATTACCAGAAAATGAAAATACAGATACCTCAAAACTCTACTTAAGTACTTGTGTCAATGTACTTTCCACCACTGGTAAATACAACCGACATCCTTTGTGATTAAAGATTTAATCCATATTGTTCTCCCTTAATGAAACTTTAAATTAAAAACCAAACTATGCACATCTTCAGCATTATTCTATTAACTCTTTATGAAAAACATTTCATTTTAGAGCAAACACCTATAAACATTTCAAATAATGATGCATCAAATACTTCAGAACACTCCCACCCATCGTCCTGCTGCATCACTCTGATCTCATCTGATGTCTCAGCTACTTCCAGTTATGACTCATCCCTCGCTGCTTTATGCAGCACAAAATAACCCTGTTTCTGGGAGAAATAGCTCACACAAAGCAGGATGATCTCAACATGAGTGGCCAACCAATACAGTGACAACCAGCTTGAGCCTATCACAGAGCTGCTGCTGTGTATATATGGCAGGTAGGGCTGCATGATTAATCATTTCGGCCGCTATTCAGATCCCTATGTGATCTCAGTCCCGTGTGACAATGTTAACATTGGCAAACCAAGCTTTCCCTTTTCCTCGGTAAGCTGCGTTAACCAGAAAGGGCAGAGACACACCAAGCTGTGAAAGAACAAGCAGCCATGAAGGCCAATCATTGCGCCACATTACGTCTGCTTTGTCTGGGTCAGTTGGGTTGAAAAAGTGACACCTAAACACACCGCACAGATGACAGACATCTGTGTGACAGATAACTCCCCCTACCAGCAGGTGGCAGTGTCTGCATTTGTCATTCAGAAAGAGAAAGGAAAAAGAGCTAGAATGTGGAAGTTTAAGCTATAAACAAAGCAGCTCTCGTTCCACACAGCTGCTTCTAACTGAGAATGTGTCTTATAAGTTGCAAACCACACTACCGTTCTCTGGTCTCCTTGGTCTTTTGGTTGTGGAAGAAGAGAGACTGTTGAAGTGAGAGGAAAAAAAAAAAAAAAAAAAGAGATTCCGCACATAACGGGTGAAATCACTGATACTACAGCGACAGGCTGAAGGGGCTTTCCCCAACCGGTCTCTTCTTGTGCAAAGATTCGGTAAGCTGAATGGTCAGAGTGGCCTCTCTCTCACCACCGAGGCCCAACATCCGAGTCAACATGTTGAATTGGCCGAAAAGCCGCCGACAGGTAACAAAGGTGTAGGACACAATGGGAAGACGAGCCTTGACAGACATTCACTGATGGCGGCCGACTGTTGCCTTGGCGTATCTCTACCCAAACAAGAACGCATGATGTCACGTGACAAGCTGTAGACAGGGAGACTGATTCAAAAACAAATCCAAACTGTTTGACGTGGTGAATGGCATTCAGTGCCCTCCTACAAACGTTGTGCTGCCTGCCCAATACACCCAGTGTCGATTATCCGTAGAGGCAGAGATGTGAGAAATCACCGTGGTTACTGGTTGCAGCTATTGATTAAGGCAGCTTAGTGAGGAAAAGGGAGTGCTTGGTTTGATGAACAAGGGATCTTCCTGTTAACGCAAACACGGCTGAATCACCGACACGCGAGGCTGAGATCACAATGAAAAATAACTGTGTGGTGATGAGGGAAAACACCCTGCTGTATATAAACACCATAGATCCTGTACATTTGAGGTAGTGAACCATCAGAGTACCAAGTTTATTTATCAACTGTCCTGTCCTGTACATGGCCACAAAAACCTAAAAAAGGAAAACAAATTGCAGATATATCTGATGTTTTTAATTCCCTAATATCAATATAGGTATAATCCTTATGACCCCATATTAGCCAAGCTCAACTCAAAGTGATCTGTATATAACAAAAACATGATCTTTAACTCCGTCAGAAGGTTTTTACTGTCGTGTGAACTTACTGTCGAATGAACTGGACAGCATCTTCATATTTCATCCCACATTCTATCAGGGCGAGTGCGACCAGAACAGGAGCTCTGTGGGGGGGGGGGACAGGGAGCACGTCAGTGTAAAGGAACTGCTACAGAAACATCTTATTGGGTGCTGTTGTTATCTATGATCAAAGACTTAGTGATTCAGTTTAAAACAACTTCACCCATGATCGTCATGTTTGTGACTGAGCACAACTAATCTGTAGTCAGAAACTAGAGCTAAATATGTAAGATGACACCAGTAAATTACAAGTGAGCACAGGGGGAGGACATCCAGCTATTTCTGAATCTCACGTCAGCTGAAAAGCAGAAAGGATGGAAACTCAACCTGTTTGACAGGTTGTTTAAACTAAACAAACAGGCAAGGAGCAAAATGTCATATTACCGGTCATTGAAGGCAAAATAAAGTCCACATAACTGGCAGCACATGTTTTTGGTTTATTTCCAAACAAACTGAGTGAAAACCATTGAATAAAACAATGTATAATACCAACAACTATATAAACACATACACAAACACACATCAGACATTGACAACTGTGACGAGGTTTCCAAGAACTGCAAAAGGATTTTTCTAAGAAATGCTTGTCAAAACTTCCTGGAACATAATGGAGGGTTAATCCCAGTTTCTTTAAACTGCCTGTTCCTCCTTCCTCATTCAACCAAGAAGTCGTACTGGTCCACCATATTGAAGTCCCAGCACTCTTATACCTACTCTGCAGAACAAGGGTTGAAGAAGCTGCTGGAGGACACACAAGTGAAGATACAAGGCAGCAACTTTCATGAAGTCTTTTATTGTCCTGTATAAAAGGAAACTGGACTAGGTTTCTAGGTCGAAGATGTTTCACCTTTTATTGTCCTGTGTATTGGAAGTCAGCTGGCAACTGGATGCCTCAGATGAATGATCAGAGGAAACAAAGTCTCATGTCTCTAAGACTACGTTCACACTGCAGGTCTTAATGATCAGATCTTTCGCCAAAATCCGATTTTTTGCGCTGTTGTTCACACTGTCATTTAAATGCAACTGCCATCTGTCCCATGTGTGAACGGTATACGGCCCTGAGGGGACCCGCATGCGCAGAAGAGGGCGTGACGTCAGATGCAGCGTACTGTGTTGGAAAATGGATGCAGCTCGTAATAGCATGTGCGTAGTGATGTACCAGTTAATGTGCAATCGAAATAAAGAAATAATAAGAAGAAGAATATCAAGAAGGAGGAGAGCACAAATATTGCTTATGGCCTCGGCTCCTCCAGCGCAGAATTGTGACATCTGCCACATTTCAATGACATAAAAATCGCATGAAATGCGACATGGCCGTTCAGACTGAAGTTGCATTGCAAAACATCGGATATGTATCCGATTTAGGACCACATATGAAAGTGGCCTGGGCCGGATTTGGGGGAAAAAAAAAATCGGATTTGTGCTGTTTACACTCATAAGGAAATTGGATATGGGTCACATTTGGGCAAAAAGATCAGATTTGAGCCACTTCAGCCTGCGGTGTGAACGTGGCCTAAAGCTCTAGGACTAATAAAGGTTTATCTCTTCTTATCTTAAATGTGATTCTCCGATTCCTCTGTCCTTGCATTCTCTTCTTGCATCTTAAGTGGGCAGGACAGAGATGCAAGGACATATCTGTATTTTCTATGCAAAGCTATTTATAAACAGCACACTGGAAGCGTTTTCATACTATTTCACAACTCTGGGATAAGTGTCTTACTCAAGGACACTGACACATGGACCAGAGAAGCCAGGAATCAAACCGCCAACCCCCTGGTTTAGAGACCTGCTCTACCCCCGAGCCACAGCCACTCCCAAAAGGAAGGAAGAGATGCACGTGAGGGAGCCACTGGTGCAGTTAAGGGCACTGGCATTTACAAGTAACATCTTCAAAAGTCACTTTTTTTTGGTCAGACCAAAAATAAGAAATATTCAATTATTTAAAACTGTGGAAAACAGCAAATGGTCAAATTCTGGAGGCTGAAAACAGAGAATCAACCATTAAATAACTTTAGCGAGCGCTCACCTTCCCAGCCCTGCCACACAGTGCACAGCGATGCAGCAGCCGGGCTCGTCCCTGAACTTTGACTTCAGCAGGTTCAGCCAATCATCCACGATCTGGTTGGGGGGAGGAGCTCCATCATCAAAAGGCCAATCCTAGAGAAGAAGAGGGACAAAGAGGGAAATTACATCATCAGCCCAGTTTCGTGAAACTCAAAACAAAAGGCTGGGGCAGCTGCAAGGAAAGAAAAATGTTGTTGCAGAGGGAGGGACAGTTTCTGTCTGCTGTATCATTATCTGACATGTTTGAAATGCTTCTCATAGTTGCACCTGAGGTTTTAATACATTTTCATGCCGTCAGTGATGGACAAAAAAAAAAAAAAAATACTGGTTTTATGTTGATAAGAAAATTCAGTCGCACAGTGGCGCAGCACTGCCGACTCTCCTCAAAGGTGTTACATAAGATGGATAAAAAAATATAAGCCGCTGATAAGCAAAAGGCCAAAATGTTTCTCAGATGTGACAACTAGCTGCTGCTATCTCTGTCAGATCAATGTAAACTGAGCAAGATTTGGTTTTAGACTGTTGTTAGGACAAAAAGAGATTTAAACAGTATCACCTCAAACTCTGAGCTCAACAGTATGGTTGCATTTAGGTCTGTTATGTTTTTATTATTGAAAGATGTTTTGCATATTACAGTAATAAAACAGCTTAAAGACTCAGAGATGAAACTGACCATACATGTTTGGGAAAGAAAAACCACCACAAACACAGGCTACATTCAGTCTGGTTCGATGGGTCGAGCATCAAGAAGAATTCAGACGTGAACTCACCAAAACTTGAATTCCCTCCTTCACCACCAGGGTGGCATCATAGGTGGCCTCACAGACTCTCACTACGGTGGTGACTCCATATTTCTTCAGCTCCTGTAAAAAAAAAAACAAACAGCATTTGTTAAAAATAAGTAAGACAGTAAATCTACCTCAAACAATGTAAATACACAGGTAATAATACTTTAAAATTCACTCAAATGCCTCAACTCCTGGAGCCTGAATTCAGTTCTGAGCTTTGTTGCATTTAGCTTTTCAGAACATTTATCTCCTTTAATGTTCAACACATTATCCTTGCCCTCATGTTTGTGAACACACCGTGCTAGAAACAAACTACTTCACACTGTAAACTCCCCGTAAATCTGACTGAATACATTTCAACGTCTAACACTGCAGCTCACCTCTATGAACTTGTTCAGGGTGGCGTTGGTGGGATTGTGGGTAATGAGGAACCTCATGTTTTTGTAGGTGATCTCCACAGGGGCCGGTCTGTTCATACGAGCCATTGTGACAAAGTAAAAAAACCAAAAAACAAAACCCAAAAGTCTTGCCCAGAGTAAACACACGAATGTAAACAGTTAAACTCGGTGGGAATGTCAACCACGAATGTCCCACAAGCTTCCAGAAACAAAGATCCTCCGGCGGTCTTCGAGGTTGGCAAGGTGCAAAAAAAAACAAAAGTAACTGTTCATACGAGCCATTGTGACAAAGTAAAAAAACCAAAAAACAAAACCCAAAAGTCTTGCCCAGAGTAAACACACGAATGTAAACAGTTAAACTCGGTGGGAATGTCAACCACGAATGTCCCACAAGCTTCCAGAAACAAAAGATCCTCCGGCGGTCTTCAAGGTTGGCAAGGTGTAAAAAACAAAACAAAAGTAAGGCTGCGACAGGCAAATGGGAAAATTAGGCAAACCTGGCGGCTGAAAAGGGTGGACAACTCGAAAATTAACTCAGAACCCTCTCCTTTGGGATAACACAAAAGAAAAGGAAGAATAAAACAAGGCTGGTTCCACCTGGCCAGGCAGAAGCCGACAAGGGCAGTGTGCAGCAGGTAGAGTTACCCCATCCAGGCCAAGTTGTCGCTGGTTCTGGGAGGTGTCCCGGTCCTGCCAACTTCCCGGGGTCCCTCCTGTGGCTCAAGTGCGTTGGATCGATGGCAAGTTTGGCTGTTCACTCGTCTGCATAGGCGGCGTGCTGAGCCTGGCAGTAGTCCCCACTGCCCTTCAGAAACTCCATAAATGTGTGACCCAGAACACCACAGAACTGCTGCGGGACACAGAGGGGAGGAGGGGAGGGGAACGCTGAGTGCTAGCCATTGGAGTGAAGCGCCATCAGTACGGCGACGGTCACACGACCGTCGAAAATGCTCTTCAATAAACCAACAGGTGACGTCACAGTGGGCTTGTCCACATTTTTATATATACAGTCAGTGGGGAAGACCCATTGAGGTTAGGAGCCTCTTTTATAACAGTGCCCTGACCAAGATGGCAGTGTTTACAAAAACCAGTCAAAGACAGCACAATTACAGAAGTGAAACCAAAGATGAAAGACATTACACCGAAAACAGAGAAGTTAAGAAAATAGTGAAATCACACTTCACTGTGTGGTTAAAAGTGAAAACAGGTGCTGATGTTATGATCCTTAACAGAACACAAGGGTTAAAGGAGCTATTTATCAATAATGCTGAAATCAGTTAGTTTTACCAAACTGAGTAGATTAGGCTACTTTCCTAAGCTGATCCAGGAGCAGGCAACATAAAGGCCTTCTTTCCCATCTCTGTCCGGACATTTGGGACAGACAACAGATATGAGCCACGAGATCTAAAATTAGAACCAGCAGGTGGACTCCGTGAGAGGAATCTACAAAAGGTATGATGGGAGTTTACTTAGTTCGGCTTTATAAATAGACGTACACCAATGAGAGAGCCAGCTCTGAAGTACAAGACATAGAATCCGTATCAAGTGTCTATTTGGAGCATTCATACAGAAGGTCACATAATCCACTTCTGGTGAAAAGTGGCAGCAACAAGTCCAGTGTTTATAACAAAACCTTTTACCTTTAACCAAGGTTTTTTTTTAAATATGCTGTTTAAAGATTAGACACTCATGGAGCCAAATTCCCAAATACTTAAAGCATGTAACAGGCTCAGTTTTCCTCCCGTGAGCTGTCGCACTGTCAACCGTGACAAATGGCTTATTTCTTGAATTATTGGCTTAGTCTGCATTTATTACAAACTTGATCTGGAAAAAAACCGAGATTGTAAGATGTCAAATACTTACTGACGTTCAGGGCATGAAGGACAGAGATTAAATCCTGCCTACCTGTATCGTGCTCAGGCTGCAGTGCTGTAACATCCCAACTGGTCATATGAGAAAGCTGAGCTCACAGAGGCCTTCAGCGGGGCTCTGTTATCATCATCAACATCACCATCATCACCATCATCATCATCCTCCTCCTAACTCTGACTCACTCACAGGCTGGCTGCCATTTACTTCCTCCTGTCTTCTGCCCTTTCAACCTTTCATCACCTGAGAGCACACCATGTTCTTCTTTTTGAGTTTTAATGGCGGCTACAGACCAACGTAAAAGGTGCATGCCGCCACCCAATTTCATGGCTTAATTAACTTATACTTTATTAACACATAATTATAAATATCTAATCAAACCTCCTTACATCTGAAATGGCTCTAAAGGCCTTTAATACTCCATTCTCTTCCATTTCTAACACCCCACCCTTCAATATTTCTTTCTATATTCTAGTTATACACGTTCATCCGTTTATCCACATTTACGATAATCACATTCACCAAAAACCATCGTGCCAATAATATGGGATGTATTGTTTGGTCTGGTATTCAAGTCCAGATCGTGAACGATGTTCGGGCCTTTCGAGGCCTTTAGTAGCTGGGAGGGGGACAATGTGCCTTAAGGCGATAAACACGACGCCTCGTTAAAGCAGAAGGAGGGCAGTATGTGTCGGAAACCGCACAAAAACATCATTTACAGTATTGACTTGTTTCACGTAAAAACGCGTCGATTTAGAGCAGCGGCTAGCGGGCTAGCATTAGCTAGCACCAGCCCGTGCCGCGCACCCGACAGCCGCTGGCTAACCGCGACAAATACTTAGTCAAATCTTTAATTAACACATATAAGCCCAAGGGAAATGCCAGTTTAGTCTAGTTATGTAGCATTTAAATAAGGCATTGAATGTGAAGTGTTAGAGTGACACGAATATCAAACCGGGTTTGTGCCGAGCAGGCCGTGATTTCACCGAAGAAACGTGGTGGCCAGCTGGTAACAATTTACAACACAAGCCGAAGGGATAAAACAAAATGGCAGCCACAGTAAAACGATACTTACTGGGATATGCTTACTCATTGAAGATTGTAGCTTAATCATACAGCCGGTCCCCAGAAAAAGGTACAAAATAGCAAATGGTCCTCCACCATACAGTCAGGTGCTGTATCCGAGCGGAGCCAAAGTCTCCTGGTTTGTTCAGGCGGCAAGCCGGAGGAAGTGTGAGTGTGGCTTCCTGTCGTACCTTTCACAATAAAACGCGCTTATGCAATATATACGGGTGACAAAAGGAAAGCCCCGAATGACGGGAGTGGTCTCCTCCGGGATGGCAGTGTCCCATCACTGTATGGTTTGATGAGGACGAACATAGGATGAATCGTATGCTGTGGCCTTCACAGTCACCAGGTCTCAACCCAGTTGAACAGCTATGGGAGAGTTTGGAGTGACATGTTTGACAGCGTCTCCCCCACCACCATCATCAAAACACCACATGAGGGAACATCTGTTGGTAGAACAGTGTTCATCCCTCCAGAAGAGGTCAGAGACTTGGAGAGTCAATGCCAAGGTGCACTGAAGCTCTTCTGGTGCCACATGGTGACCCAGCACCTCACTGAGGCTCTTTAACGTGACTCCCTGGACCCAAACAAGTGCATGTGGCCCTTCAAGTGAAGTTCAAACAAGTTTACCACCAACACATTCTAGTCTTGACTCCTACTCTAAATCATTTACATGTACTTTTCAGAAATAGTGAGAATAGAAACATTTTATGCCTGTTATGTAAGTTTAATTCTTAGTCGAGATTTTACACATGATTCACAAACAGTATATTATTACACACAGATATTTTTGGTTATTTAATGACTTAAATCTTTTTTTTAAGATGATTATGATTTTTTTCTCTTTGTTCCTGTGAATGACACACCCTCACTTCCATTTTGAAGAGCAACCCATGGAACTCCTGGTTTTTCCTATGAGTTTAATTGTGTCTAGCTTGACAAGGCTCTTGAAACCCCACCCTGAAAATGTGAGGTGTTCTGCCCAGACATCTCCCTGTGTCCATGCTGGCTGCATCTGCTCCTCCTGACACCAAGAGGGCAGGAGACAGCAGAAACCATCCACAGTTTCCCAGTCACAGCTGTAACATGGCACAAAATGTTTATCACTACAGCTAGAGATGACATTCTCCAGAACTTACTGCAATCACTCTGCCTGATGAAAACTATAGTCTGATGGATATTATTGAAAATAACAAATAAACACACTGAGTTGGCAGTTTATTAGGTCCTCGTAGCTCAAACTAAGTCAGTCTAATCCAGCAGTACTAAATAAAGACAGTTATTGGGCTGTGAAAAGTCCTTTGGTAACACTTCCCAGGTCTGTGATTTCCTGTTTTTTATTTCTAACGACTTGCAATAAGTTTCCTGGTACACTTCTAGTAATTAATTCCAGTTAAATACATGCATAACCTCTTTGTTTTAGCCACTTCTAGAGCAGATTAGCTAAACATATGAAAACATGAGAATCCATCCAAAAATGAGCAAACACTTCAAAAATATGAAGGAACAAAGTTTCCAATAATAAATGAACAATATAGTAAATTAATATTTATTTGATTTTAAGTGAAATGCATCTGTACCAAAGTCCATTTAGAAACATTTTACTTACAGCCCCAGACTTGACTAATTCGTTCAGTAGATACACTTTCATTAAATATTTATTAATATTTTAACAGCAGCTCTGATGGTCTAGTGTAAAAGAAATATTTTACAGCCTAAAAATCATAAGACCTGCTTTATTAACAGCTCATTATGAATCTATAAAGCATATAAATTATTTAATGACCAATGATACACATAAGCTTTAGTGTTCATTCTTGATTCTGGAAACAGTGGCTGAGAATACAGTCTCACGAGGGCCTTTTTATAGATGCTTTCGACTGTAACACATGGTTTTCAACAGGAGATGGAGTTTGCCCGGTTGTTACAATATTTTAGATGCTAAATTCCTAATTTTATCAGCACATAAAGGACCTCTGCTCCATGTAAGCTTAAACTGAAAACATGCTGTTTAATATATATAGTAGAAAGCTCCAGAGCAGCTATTAAATGAGTCTGTGGTCAGATTGTACTGTTAACACTTTTTAAAAAATACACCTCAACTTATCTGAAGGGGCATTATTTTTATAAAATCATAGAACCTTGTTAGATCTGAAACTAAACAGGAAAAATAACATTTAGTTTCAGCTGTGCTTTTAAACATTAAAGTTGGGCTCCATGTTTAAGAAACATTTTGCAGACTGCCCAGTGATTTCACTCAGTCAGCAGGTGTTTAGCACAGACACCATCACCAACAGTAGCCATTGTCTGGACCTCACATTCGTCTCCTTTGCTTCCATAGATTTCTGGAAGCACAACCAGAGCTGCCGAACTCTGCAGTTTCACATACAGCCACTCTGAACTGTCCTCTCTGTCAGCCAATCAGCTCATAGCTGCAGTTGTTCACAGTTTACCGGTGGCCGGCCGGTGCCAGTTTCCAGCCGGACTCAGTGGCTGCTGGGGGCAACGAGAATTTTCTAATTCATCACCATTGTACCAATTGTCTATAAAAATTAATGTGCGAGTGATGCTCGCTGGGGGCTATCAAATTTCCAAATCACTGTTCATGAAAGAGTACAGTCAAAGAAATGAATGGCTCAGAAGATTTCAAGGTAACATCTCCACATCTAACTTTTTTATTGGGATTTTGTTCCAGGACAAAACTTTGACTTTAGATATATTTTTCTTGACTTTGCTCATTCAATTGGTTTTATTTAAGTATCTTTCTCAATCTTATTTTTATTCACTGTAATTACAGATGTAAGTCCTCACACTCTTTGATAATTCCTTTCATAATCATTTGCTTACTCAAGAGGGATGTGTTGGATTTTTCCTCTATAATAGTAATAACAGTAATAGCAGTCTAGACTTTACATTATAAAGTGTCCTGAGATGACTTTTTTGTGATTTGGTGCTATACAAATGAAATTGAAGTGAACCTGAGCACCTCTTAGGATTTTCATGATAAACACACTGTGTGTTCTCAGGATGGCCAGAGTGGAGGTAAGGACCAAACAGACCTTGGCAGCAGGAAGGGAGTGAGGGTGACGGGGGGATATGTCACTCTGGTGGACTGGAGCAGCAGAGGAGGAGGTCCTGCCATCACCCACTCAGCCACCAGTGATCCTGTACCTCCACACACCCCCACTGTGATCTCTATCGGCACTCCACCTCCCAGGCCCCCAGAGAAATTGGACGAGCCGCTGGATGAATCTTCTGTTGGGGAGAACTGGACCACAGAGGTGTCGACTGAGACCAGGGCATCCTACTATGAGATAGGCATCCTCAGGCAGACCATGGATGAGCTGAAGACCATCCTGAGGGACAGCCCTCTGCTCAGCATCCAAGGAACATATGTTGGGAAGCCAGGGAGCCCTTATACGTACCTCCATGGGAGCAGCAGCAGCTCCGGTGGAAGGTCTGATGGGAGTCAAAAGGATGGAACACCCCACAGGGTGTCCAGCACCTTCAAACCTCACTTTGATGCTTCCAGAAGGGGGCCCAGGTCCAGAGAGGACACATCTATTCAGCTGCCTTCCAGCATGGATTCATCCAGCACATTCAGGTCTGATGCAAACACAAATAGGCAGCCTGGAGTCGAGGTGCACACATATGCAAGCAGCAGCTCCTGGGGAGAGACTGAAGCTTCTCAAACAGGTTGGTGACACTTTGGTTTAGAGACATAGGTAAAGAAACGGCCTCTCTTACATGGTATAAATCTAACAAATAAGTGGATGTTTGTCACAGCTCATACAACTATTTGTTTTGATTTTTTTTATTTCACCTGGGCATTTCAAATTGTTAATTTGGTTTAGAGATGTCTGTATAAAGCTCTTTTTACTGGTTACTCATTTTTACTTTTGGAGCAATGGCTTATGGACCATTTAAAGCTGTTTGGTAAATACTGATATCATTATTGGGAAGTTAAAACAACAAAAGGCAATATATCATTCAATGGCATTTCTAATAGTTTTTTTTTTAAATATAAGCCCATGACAATGATTTTCATACAACTCATTTGTCTTCTAATTGTGACCATGATACATCCAGAGTGGGACGTAGGTGAAAGTCAACAGTACTCTCTGCTGGACAAGCTCTGCACTGCTTCCAGATTACATCAGGCCTAGTTTGGCATTTCTGTACTGCAGTTTCTTATAGGTTTGGCAGATACAACAGTCTAGTCTGAGTCAATATTGGATTGAAATCAAACAGAGTTGGTTTGGGAGCTGACTTTGGCTTGGCTAAAGTGGTTGAATGGGAACCTAAATATTTGAAATGAATGTATTTTGTGGCATTCATGTGGACAGCAAAGTAACAATTCCATTGTACCGGGAAACATGTTTCCTAACTGTGCATATGACAAATAAACACTGACCTTGAATGCTTGTCAAATGTTTTCAGATACTTCACACTGTTTTCCACAGATAACAGGAACAAGACAGTAGAGATATCTGGGAATCTCAGGTTCATCGCAGCCATGGAGCAGATCAAGCAGCAGATCAACAGAGAGAATATCAACTTTGTCCGCTTTGAGGCCACCGACCTCCATGGGGTGTCCAGGTCCAAGACAGTGCCTGTCCGCTTCTTCCATGTAATTACCTCACACAGGAGTGTAGGATATAAAAATAAGGACCATTTATCAGCTCAGTAATTTCAGAAATATGCTCATTTGTATTGTTTTTAAGATGAGAAGATTGAAACCACCCTCATGTCTTTGTGTTAAGTGCAAAGCTGGCAATTAGCCTAAATTAGCATAAAGATTATATGCAGGCAGTAGTTCTCTCCAAAGTTCAAAAACACACTTATCAGCACCTCTAATCTCACTTTTCGACATATAATTGTATCAATATACAAATAGAACTGTGAAAATGTAAAAATTGCTGGGACTATTTCTCGGCAGACAACCACTGGGAGCCATTACTCTGTGCAGTTTGAAATACTGCATGGATGGAAAAAACATTCCTGAGGAAATAATAACAAGAACTATTCCTTTAAAACAACTATCAATGAACCAAAGAGGATACATGATGATGCAGGTTAGCTGATTCCCCTTCCTTTTAGTTTTTGTGCTGAGCTATGCTAATTGCCTCCCAGCGTTTCCTCTGCACTTAAGACAGACGTGAAACTGATATCAGTCTTCTCATCTACAATTCAGAAAGAAAGCAAATAAATCTCATTTCCCAGAAGTGTTTTTCTGTCTTTTAATATAAAGATCACATCCACAGGAGAAAGCAGTACATGGGGTTCCAATGCCAAGAAGCTACTTGGAGCTGACGCTGAGCCCTAAGAGCAACGAAGTGGACCACGCCAACACCGCCAGCTTCAGCAGTGATGTTCTCCTGATCCCTGACCTTTCGACCTTCAGGGCCCTGCCATGGGCTGAGCAGACAGCGCGTGTCATTTGTGACCCCTGCACAGTGACAGGAAGCCCCCTTCGCACTTCCCCTCGTCTCATCGCCAAGCAGTTGCTCGGCCAGCTCCAAAGCCTGGGATTCTCCCTGCACTCATCCTTCACCTACGAATGCTGCGTCCTCGGAGCCCCAGATAGGATTGGACCGAAGACACTCCTGTTCCCAGCCACCACCCTGCTGAGCAACCATGACCTGCCTTTCCTCCAGCAACTGGTGGACAGCATGTACTGCATGGGAGCAGACATAGACAGCATTGCCTCTGCAAGTGGACCTAGCCAAATGGAGATCAATCTGAGGCCAGAGTTTGGGATTGCAGCTGCAGACAGTGCCTTCACCTTCCGCACCGGTATCAAAGAACTGGCCCGTAAACACAGCTACATCGCTGGCTTCTTCACAGATGACGGCCTGTACAATGCAGGTGTGCTCTCTCACAGCTTGTGGGATACTAACGGGCGACGTGGCCTGTTCCACAGCGGGGAGAAGGTGGGCGAGCTGTCTGAGATTGGCAGGAAATGGCTGGCTGGCCTCCTCACCCACTCTGCTGCTCTGAGCTGCCTGATGTCGCCCGGCCTTGGCTGCCGGAGCCACATGGCAAAGATGATCAAAGACCCTAAACAAATGCTGTACGCCACCTGCGGCTGCAATGACAACAGCACTTCTTTCAACATCAAGTGTCACGGTGGGAGGGAGACACACATTGACAACAAGCTTGGCTCAGCCATGGCCAACCCTTACATCGCACTGGCTGCTACGGTGGCCGCAGGACTGGACGGCATCAGAAGAAACCTGAACAGTGAAAGCGATCTCAGCAAAGCCCCCAGTCAGCAGAGGGAATACGCCATTCCCGTGAAGCTCGAGGACGTTCTGGAGGCACTGGCTGAGGATCACGTCATGCTTGGTGCCCTCGGAGAGCCCTTTGTTCAGTATTTCATCGCCATGAAAAAGTTTGAGATTGAGACCCAAGAACTGGATGATGAGAGAAACAAGTGTCTGGAGTATTTTATCTAGAAATCCTCTTTGTTTCATTACATGTGGAGCACACTTTCTCCTGACACACAAATAAAAGCACGAGAAACAACTGCATTAATAGAAAAGACTTTTATTTTATCTTTTTCCTCTATAATAATAATAGAAAGGTCTGGACCTCACTTTGTAAAGTGTCTTGAGACAATTTTTGTTGTGATTTGGTGCTATACAAAAAATGGAATTGAAGTGAATTGAATAAGATGTTGATGCTTTTATATTATTATTGTTATATTATTGAACAAATTTAATATTATAGATATTGTTCAGAATCATTTCAAAATAAAGGTATAACTATCTTCAAAGTCCAAAGCAGTTTTGTTTGTGTTTTATTTGTTTTGTTTTCAAGAACAATAGTGACACAGTTGTTGCTCTCACTGTTTACAGTAACAGTTTGGAAGTACTACATTAAACCAATGTGACAAAAAACAAACAAAGCAAGTAGCATTCTGCTTGGTCTGTTGTAGCCACTCTTCCAGTTTAGGAGTCACAGCACCACTGGGACCACTTTGGCCTTCACCTTCCACATCCTCTCCAGTTCCTCTTTCAGGCCCTGGTACTCCTCTATGTACTCATAGTTCTTCTTCTGGATGCTGCTGTCACTTGGAACTGCTATGTCCTCCACCACTACCTCCTTCTGTTCCTTGTCTACCACCACAGTGTCTGGTTGGTTGGCCAGTACCTTCTTGTCTGTCTGGATCTGGAAGTCCCACAGGATCATAGCCCTGTTATTGTCCGACCTTGTGAGGAGTCTCCCATCTGAACTTGAGACGGTCTAGCCCAGACCCAGCACAGATGTTTCTGTACACAAAGCCAGACACTTGGATGTGCTGTTCCTGCCTGCGTTTTACATCCTGCCATTCTGTGTTGGATTGTCTCTGAGGCCTCTTTGCACAGTCTGCACCTGTGTCCTGTCTGGTGTGGTAGAGCCCTGCTTCGGTTGACCTGGTACTTAGTGCCTGTTCTTGTGATGCTATGATCACTGTCTGATAGGCCAGCCTTTTCCAGCCTCTGGTAGGATTTCCCAGCATCAGCCATCTCAGCTATCTGTCGGTGGTACATCCCATTCAGGGCCTTATTCTGCCATGGCAGGTCCTCTGGTAGGTCTTCAGCCCCAATCTGTTGCTGTTTCAGACATCCTCTCAGCAGCTCATCTCTGGGTGCCATCTTGCTGATGTTCTCCTGGATGCTCTGGGTTTCATCCAGGACAGTGGCCTTGACACTCACCATACCCCGTCCAGACTCTTGTTCCATTGTACAGTTCCACTGTACAGTCCCATTGAGTTCTTGATGAAGGTCATCAGTATTATGAGGGGTTTCAGGGTCTTCACATCGGCAGCCTCCATGTCCTCCTTTGGCCAGCTCACTATGCCAACAGGGTATCTGATGACTGACAAGGCTTATGTGTTGGATCTTGTTCCTCCCATTGAACTGGCTCTTCAGGACCTGTCTTCTCCTTTGATGGTACTTAGATGTTGTTGTCTCCTCATCGTGGTTCCCATGTGACTGTGGGATACAAGTACATGTACATGTAGGTACATGTAGGTGGTCTGTATATTTGATACGTGGCCCCCTGGTAGTTCTAACCAATTAGTCTTTACCACCTTCTCTCTTCTTACTATCATCTGGTCATACTGCTCAGTGTCCTCACTGAAGATCCGTGTCAGATGGAACAATGAGTCGATGCCCCGTTCGTTCGTGACATACAGCTGATGTCATCCATGTAGAGGAGCTGGCTGATGGTAGCTGATGTACTCAGGTTGGTCTGTCTGGATTCTGAGTCGCTGATGACTGCTCTGTTTATCAGCAACTGGTGTTTTGAACCTCTGGTGTTGTTCCCAATGGCCCTATATAATAAATTAATATGCACTTAAATGATTAATAATAGTCATTATTTAAAGAGTCTAGAGGATGGAGGAGAGACATGAAAAAGTTCAACCTGTTTTCCTTTAAACTACAACACAGTGAGTTGATAATGTTACATTTGTAGTGTAAACCTTTGTATTAAAATGTCTGCTAATGTGATTTTGTTTTAATGTAGTTATTTATTATTTTACTGTTGAGATGTTGGTGCTGTTGCTTTTATAAGGGCGTCTGACACATGCTGTGGAATAAAAAACAAGCGGGTAATTATTTATAACCTATGTTGATCTAGTGTCATTCTGTAGACCAGTATTGAACTGCTAAAATGATTTTTAGACAATTATATCAGAAAATATTTTATACAAAGTATCCAGCTCTTTACTTATTACATAATATACAATATCCTTTAAATTTCATATCCTTAACAACATTTTATGTCAACTAGATACTGTGCAAAACAAATAAGGTCTTAAGTTTTTTTTTATTTGGGGGGTTTTGGGGTCTTATCTTGAATTAATAACATGAAAGAGGGAGGTCTGCAGGGAACTCTGTTCACAGGTTCATGGTAGTCAATTACTGAGTGAATATCTCTGTCATAAAACCTCAAGCAGTGTTTGGAGCTTTAATGAGTTTCAAATATGCCACCTTAGTGTGAGAGGTTAAGCTTTATTCCTATGTCCAGGGGTTAGCATATCGTGGCCTTCATACACTATCATCTGGTCATACTGCTCAGTGTCCTCACTGAAGATCCGTGTCAGATGGACCAGTGAGTCGATGTGCCGTTTGTTCTTGGCATACAGCTGCACTTAAATGATTAATAATAGTCGTTATTTAAAAAGTCTAGAGGATGGAGGAGAGACATGAAAAAGTTCAACCTGTTTACTGCAACACAGTGAGTTGATAATGTTACATTAGTGAGATAGCTACAGCTAATTTACCCACTTTGACAAATCAGTTGTGAAGCCCCAACATCTTAGTACTTGAGTTTGTTAAACAACTTGGTAAAAACAAGTAACACCAAATAAAGTGGTCCTGCTAAAAGGTAACTAGCTTAGCAGAGTAACGGTAAGTAGCAGCTTTATTTAGGTTTTATAGTGAAAATGACAGACTAACAGCCTTTAAGGAGGTGCCCCAGCCACTGCTGTTAAAGAAACTGTTGGGGGGAAAAACATTGATTTTCATGGGCGAACAAATAGCTGTTCCGTTGTCCAGGTAATAGACCTATCCAAATCTAGTTACTTTATAAGGTTATCTCACTAAAACAATCATATAGACCCCAACAGTATCTGAATCTGTGAGTAAACGCCGTATACTTCACTTTGCCCGTCAGTGCTTTGTTGTGGTCGGGCAAGTGGCACAATTGACTTAGGTCCACACAAAAATGCTTACTCTCATTAATGTAATCAATAGTCAATTACCAGTAAAGTAATGTGGGACTTGTGGTCCTATACCCTTTCTCTTCCACCTAGACCCTCTCCACCTGCTGCACTTTTGATTAATGGCCTCAGGGGTTTTCATGTAAATCAGGCAAGTTCGGATTAAATTCATTAACTTTATTGTTTGTGAGGTGGTAATGTGACTTTTCGATGGACTGTTGGTGTGGACAGCCCACAACCCCTTTAAATCTGAAACAGGCTGAAGTCAAAAGACCTGTTCCTGGTTTTCTTCAGTAAGACCATCCTGATAATGCAACCTACTGCTGAGTTCAGGTGCTGAATGGAACATCAGTTCTGTAACTTGGGTCAGTCAAGGATCATAAAATTCAAGAGTATAGGTATTCCTCCCTTTTTAGGGTGTTGTCCACGACCATTGGAGCAGAGAGGATGATTGGAGGATGGACGGACTGAAGGACCAATCTTGGGAGAATTAAGTTTAAACCACAACTGCTCCCCAACAGTTTTGGACCAATCAGATAGTAACATCTTTTCATACATATATTGTATACCGCCAAGTTGAAGTCAGTCTTTTCTGTTTATTCTAAACAGTCAAGATCCATGTGCACATGCTTATTTTGATACGTTAATGCATAATAAATTTCACACTGTGAAATATTTTTATATTAGTCTTTTCGTTTCAGAGTAAGAGAACACGTTCAACAAATTTTGATGACCTCGATGTGATTTGAGAAGAGAGGAGAGAGGAATGAATTGAATTACAATTGGATCGGCATCACCTCAAGACTGGAGATTTCCAGCGGGCCAGCCTGCGCTCCCAGCCTCCTGTCACCCACAGACCGGTCTACTTTGAAAAAGGTAAGCAGACGCCTGTTGATTTTATCCAAAGTTCTGCATATTGGAAAATCTAAATTAAGTGGGTGGGAGAGAGGTAAGGAAGTTTCAGGACAAACACTCTGTAAAATTATTGAAATAATATTTTAT